GGGGACACCAGTCAATCCTGAGGCACACGGGACCTCAGTCAGTCCAGGCGCCGTGTGCTGAATGGCTGATTGAGCGTGGCCCGTGCTCCTGTCCAGCTGTGTTTAGTCGGGACTCAGCAGCCAGGCTCCGTCAGGGTGGCCTGGCAGGCAGCCTGGAAGCCACCTACAGGGAAGAATACAGGCTGCTAATAAGTGGGGAGCATGATAATAGGAACTTCAGATCCAATGCAGTCTAGAAAGTGGAAGACCCCTGCAACATATAAAGGACTGGGTATTGGGAAACCTCCAATCTGTTTGACTCCTGCATTTCAGAGTATATTTGTACACACAATACCTCCCCTTCCCACTCCCTCCCCTTGGACAGATGATGGTGGCTTCAGCAGTGTGCAGCGGTCTCTTGGTCAGGTAGAGGTAAGGAATCGAATCACTGCTGAGCCAGCTCCGACCGCCGGATCGTTGGGAGAGCTGAAAAACTTTGAGGCGCCCTGAACTAGTGGGTTCCCCTCTTGGCTCTCCCAGCTGGTGCTGGGGCGGGTCTGGTCTGAAAGGTCAGCATTGGTAGGCGGAGGTGAGGAAGGAGACAGGCGGGAGCCTGGCCGGAGCAGGCTGTGGCTCCGGCGTCTTTGCAGTTCTGGCCGCAGTCTCACTGTGTTTGGAGTGAGGGAAGGAAAAGAACGTCCCAGTGGCCTGAGCCATCTGGGTGTGCTTAGCCATTGCCTGTTGGGATTCTATGGAAATGTGTCTCCAGGCCACGTTCTGTGGATCGAGGGAGGACAGCTGCGCCCATTCCACACGAGCTCGCGAGATACTGTACAACCCCAGTGCTGTGCGTGTCTGTAAACTGCTCCCAGACACACAGGGCTTTTTCTCACCAGAGACTGAGTGCTGACCACGTGCTGGCTGCGCAGCACTTCAAGGAGAGGGTTTGAACTGGGCTTTTATTTCGTTCCTGAGTGTTTGCTTTTCAAGATGAGCGGAAAGGTTAAGAACGTTCTTGTCCTAAGAAGAAAGGGGTGATCTCCTCTTTTAAGAAGACCGGTTTGGCCCAACGGTTAGAGTGTCGGCCTGTGGTCCAGAGAGACCCGGGTTCGGTTCCCGCTAAGGGCATGTACCTTGGTTGCAGTTTGTCCCTGGTCCTGGTTGGTCATGCGGGTGGGAGCAGTCGATGTGTCTCTCTCATGTCGATGTTTCTCTCTCTCTCTCGCTTCCTCTCTCTCCCTCCTACTCTCTCTGAACAAAAAATGGAAAAATGTCCTCAGGTGAGGATAAAAAAAATAAGACCATAGAGAGAAGGACCCTTTTGATGACCATAGGGCTCAGCACTGGCCTGTCCCCATACTGCCCAGAAAAGATCACAGCTCGTGGGGGATTGGCAGACGAGATAACATTTGTGATGCTGCCATCTGAAACCAGGATGGATATTTCCCTCCATTTCCAGCAACAAGAGATTGTTGGCAGGGCTTTCGGTAGGATGTGTGTGCCAGGAACAGGCAGAAAGGCCGAGTGGGGGAATCGTAGGTTAGAAATTCTGACTCGGACACCATGACACAGGACACAGAGCAGACTGTTTGACCGATGCGGCATTTTCTCGTTTATAAAACGAGGATGTCTGTCCTGACTACCACACCAGGTTGTTAAACAGTTAAGAAAAATAAGCAGCAGATATTAAATCATTAGAGAAAGACAAGCCTGCTAAATGAATGCAGAGTGGTACTAGACCCAGTGAGACTGAGCACTAAGTTTTGTTTAGTGTTTCGTTCAGCACTGCGTGGAAAATACCTGGCTCGGGCAGGCAGCTCCTTGGCCTGTGGTGCTGGGTCTGGGGGACAGAAGGAATGAGTGGAACCCCCAGCTCCAGTGTGTGGAACACACACATGCGCACACGTCCGCTGGAGGCAGTGAGGTGGAGCTCTCTGGATTGGGGTTCCGGCCCCGCCCTCCAGTCTGCCCTGGGTCAGGTCACTTCTCCAACTTCCACTCAGTCTCTCCCTGTGTGAAATGGGAGGTTTGCCACGAGGCCTGCTGCTCTCCACAGTCTTTGGTTTAACTGCCTCTAATTTGTACCTTAGCCTGTGTGGGAATAAATCTCTCTGTGTTTCCTGATGGAAAGGGGTCCTGGGGTTTCCAGAGCCATCTCCACTGAGCTGGTGTGGGGGAGGGAATGTGGCTGGACGGACGACATGGCTCTCCGCACCCTCCAGGACTGCCCGGAATCTGATCCGACCACCTGCCGTCCTCTGTCCGCTTGAAGATCGGTTTTATTGGCACGCTCCATCTACCCTGCCTCTTAGAGGCTCAGATCATTCAGCAGGGCTGCTCGGGGCTGTCCTCATTCGTATCGATTATTTCAGTTCCTTCTGTGATAACACCCATAAATCTTCTCTCAAGGGGGCCGGCAGCCACTTGGAGGGTCTTTGAAGAGGCGTCTCAGGCAGCCCTGGGCGCGTTGCTGCAGCCTTGTGCAGGGCTTGTCCGGAGCCTGTGAGGCAGAGCGTCTGGCTGAGGCCTGTGGGGGGCTCGGTATCTGTCTCTGAGGGGCTCACCTGCTTGCTTTTTTGACCCTGTTACTTTACAGTTTCATGGAGATTGTTACAGTATTTCCTGGACCACCCCGTTTTCCTCTCGCCATGAAAGAGCTTGACATAAACTCCCTGGCAAGACATCCTCTCTGACTTTAGGAAGGCCTTCTTATCAGCGTGGTTCCTATAATGGCTTCAAAACAATTCAGCTCTATCAGAAAATAAATAAAGTATCAAGGGAGGCATATAACCATAAAAACATTTTTAAATCCCAAAATGTTTTCATAAAGATATATGAGTACATTACTTAATTATTTTTAAGGGATTATTTTTTTTTAAGATTGGTTTTGGTTGCCATGGCTAATGATTACAGCCATCAGAATGGGCCTGTGGTTATGACTTCAGTCTGCTCTGGAAACGGTTCTGCTGTCGTAAACTGAGTCGGCTTGGCTCACAGGATAATCGTGCGGAGGAAAGCTGTTCGAACCCATATGCTCGTTGTGCTCGATGGCAGGAAGGGCCGTTTGCCGTATGCAATGATGGGCTGCTACTGAAATTGAAGGAACTGGGAAGTTGTCACATGAGGACAAGGGATCGAGGCCAGGCGAGCGCTGTTACATAGAGCGGAGTGTGCAGGAGTGCAGAGGTACCGGTGCAGAAGGCGCCGACAGCGGGCAGAGCGCGTGCGCTGGACCCCCACCCCTCCTGCCGGCACCACTTATAAACAACAGGTCAGACTTTAAGACTGCTGTTTATACAGAGGGGAGATGTGGGCACCACTGGAGGGGTGCTGGCCCGACTGATTGTTCTGAGAGACCCTGTAGAGTTCAAGCTTGAGTTTGGTCCTCCATAAGGTTAGGGAATGCAGCTTCCGACTTCGATCTCAGAATGGGTCCGTAGAGCGGGTCTTACAAGAGCCACCGTGGGTTCACGGGCTGTAATAAAGCCAGCGAGTTTCATGTCGCCTCTTCACATAATTGCCTCTCTTGGTGGAATTTTCCATTGGTAAATTGCTACTATTGAGATTGCATTAGATAGAAATGTCTCACATTATCCTTATGGCCCGATAACGAAACATAAACATGAAAATGATTCAGGATGGAACGTTCCTGGCTGAAGAGCAACTGATTCTACCCAAAGGGGTGATTAACACATCATTTCCAGCCTGCTGAGGAGCCTCTGAGAAGGGCTCTGAGTGGGCATGCTCAGAGTTTCCGAGTGACGTCGGTGAAGAGGGGTCTGTCACGTTGACAGGTGGCCCACGATGGAGGGGCAAGACCAAGACCCTAAGGGCCGGGGAACTGGAGTGGAAGGGGTAAATCCATGCGAGGAGAAGGGGAGGCGGGGAGTGGTGGCCTTCGGTTGACTCGCCGGCTGGAGATCAGCCACAAGAGAGGAACCGGCAGGAAGATGACTTTGGCTCCCTGCAAGGAACTTGCAGCCAGGCAGCCGCTGGGGACTCATGGAAGCTGCGCTTTCATCCACCGTCTCACTGACAGATGCCCCGCAGTATCGTCACTGCACGTAAAGGACCACATGGAACTTGTCATGACTGTTCTTTTCATATCTGAGCACAGAATTAGCGCCTGAGAACAAGGGCACCGACTGACTGCCGCTGGTGTTCCAGCCCACGAGCCGAGGATGGTTCTCATCACATTATTTATTTTTTGTTAACCCTCATCCGAGGATATATTTTTGTTGATTTCTAGAGAGTAGAAGGGAGGGAGAGAGAATGAGAGAGAGAGAGAGAGAGAGAGAAACATCGATGTGAAAGAGACACATTGATTGGTTGCCTCCCGCATGACCCTGACTGGGGCTGGGAATCCAACCTGCAACCCAGGTATATGCCCTTGACTGTGAACCGAACCGAGACCCTTTGGTCCTTGGGATAACACTCTTAACTGCTGAGCCAAACTGGCCAGGGCCATTTTTAATGATTTTTAAGGAATTAAAAGGAGAATAATATTTTTGTGACACCCAAAAATGATATGAAGCTCAGATTTCCACGTCCATAGACAAAGCTTGTTAGAGCCCAGCCGGGCTGGTTTGCTTATTTATTACCTGAGACGTTTTCACCAGAGTTGAGTGGTTTCTAAGCAGTTGCCCACAAGCCTAAAACCCTGCCTGGCCTTTCACAGAACGTCTGACAGCCCTGCCCTAGAAAAGTGAGGTGAAGTGTGCTGGTAGCAGGGAAAATGTGGACAAGATGCTTTAGAGTTCTGTGATGTGGGCTTGGTGGCAGAGATTACTTAAAAGGGTTTTCACTTGTAAACTCTATTTGGAAAATGTGACTAATAACAAGTGAAGGATAAAATGACATGAGGTTGCTTATTAGAAGTTGTTGAAAGGAATCTAACCCATTGATTTGTCCAGTGTTAGAGTTCTGTTTATCTTTTTCTTTTTTCCTCCCGACTCTTTTGATCCCCTATGGAAATTCAAATCTGACTTTTATTCCTCTCAAAGGTGTGACTCTCCTCGCCGTATGAAGTAGATTATCTGAGACAGCAGAGGAATTGTGAGTTGCCACCAAACCCCACCAGAAGCTTCTGGTTCTGGTGCTGTGACCAGTCTATTTTCAAAGGTATTTCTTTGAAATGGAAGAACAGCAGAAGGCAGGCCTGCAAACCACTCTCAGAAATATCAAAGGACGTGTCCTTGTCAACAACTTGTCAGTCCTCTGGTACGCTCTGCTCTCTGACTCCTCTGGGCTCCTTGGTCCTTTGCCATAGACATGGGTCAACACCAGAGGCTGGTGAGCCTCAAAAGTCACGGGCTGCCCTGACCAGGTGCCTCAGCTGGTTGGAGCATTGTCCCATGCAGCAAATAGTCAAGGTTTCAATTCCCATTCAGGGCACATACCTAGATTGTGGGTTTGATCTGCAGTTGGGGCGTGTGCGGGAAGCAACTGATCGATGTTGTTTTCCCACATGGATGTTTCTTTCTCTCTCTCCCTCTCCCTTCCTCTCTCTCTTAAAAAAAAAAAAATCATTGAAGAAAAAAATTTTTTTAATCAATGGAAAAATATCCTCGGGTAAGGATTAATAAAAAAATAAAATAAGTCAACAACTCATTGGAGTGTTCAGTTATTTTGGCCTTGTTTAAATAAACAACAGAATGGTTGAAAAGTGATGACTTGAGCAATATTTTTAAATTCCAAAGGCTACTCTACCCTCTGGTGAAAATTGGTTGTCAGTGTGTGGAGCTAACATAAATATTTATCATTTTAAAAGTTTTCTTTTTAAGTGAGAAAAGGAAAGGAAAGAAACTCCTATTTTAATAATTCTGCAAGTTTTAGCCAGTGCAGGTAGATAATGAAAGACGTGCCTGTCGAAAGAGCCATCATGAGTCGCATGTCAGACGATCTCCTGTCTTTAAAGGCCAGTGGAAAACCAGCAGGCCTGCGAGTCGGAGGAGGGGTCCAGTCATGAACCTCAGGCGCATAAATCAGCACTTCCTGCCACTGTTACATTGTGCCCTCCGTGGACTACAAAACAGCCTCTCCTGACCGCTTCCCTCTGCTGCAACCCGGCAGCCAGAGTGAGCCGCCAGACTCGGGCACACACCAGGTCATTCAGCTCAGAAAGCTCCGGCGGCTGTGCCATCGTTCATCCAAAGCCAGTGTCCTCAGAGTGGCCTGTAGACAAGGTGACCATGTACATCATCATCCTAACCAGGACATGTTTGAGAGCAAAGGAGTGCCTAAAATTATATAACTTTATATATGTTTATTGACTAACACTGGTTTTATCATATCAGAGAACCTATAGAAAGGTTTATTCAAAACTATTCTCAAGCCCAGCCGGTGTGGCTTAGTGGATGGAGCATCATCCCATGGACTGAGACGTCCCTGTTCGATACCCAGTCAGGGCACATGCTTGCATTGTGGGCTCGATCCCCAGTAGGGGGCGTGCAGGAGGCGGCCGATGGATGTTTATCTCATATAAGTGTTTCTTTTTTTTTTTTAAATCCTCACCGGAGGATATGTTTCCATTTATTTTCAGATAGAGCAAGAGGGAGAGAGAAACATCGATGTGAGAGGGACACATCGACTGGTCACCCCCCACATGACTCCAACCAAGGCCGGGAACCAAACTGCAACTGAGGCACATGCCCTTGACCAGAATCAAACCCGCGACTCTTTGGTCCTCAGGCCAATGCTCTAACCACAGAGCAAAACCAGCCAGGGCTCTCACATCTATGTTTCTATCTCTCTTCCTTCCTCTCTCTCTAAAAAATTAATAGAAACATTTTTTTAAAAAAAACTATTTTCAAAAATAAAATAGTTCTTTAAAATGTAACTATGTACATTAAAACAAGTTTTTAAAGTTATATTGATTATGTGGATGTTAAAAGTGGCAGAAACAGCCCTGGCCAGTTTGGCTTAGCGGTTAGAGCGTCGGCCTGTGGTCCTGAGAGACCCGGGTTCAGTTCCCACTAAGGGCATATACCTGGGTTGCAGTTTGTCCCCGGCCCTGGTTGGGTCATGCAGGTGGCAGCCACTCGATGTGTCCCTTTCACGTCGATGTTTCTCTCTCTCTCTCTCTCTCTCTCTTCCTCCCACTTTTATCTGAACAAAAAAATGGAAAAATGTCCTTGGGTGAGAATAAAAAAAAAGTAGCAGAAACAGCCCAGCCGGTGTGGCTCAGTGGTTGAGCGTCAACCCATGAACCAAGAAGTCACTGGTTTAATTTCCAGTCAGGGCACATGCCCAGGTTGTTGCCCAGGTTGTGGGCCCGATCCCCAGTTGGGCATTTCTGGTCTTGCCAATCAATGTTCTCTCTCATCGATGTTTCTCTCTCTCTCCCTCTCCCTTCTTCACTCTCTAAAAATCAATAAAGAAAAAAAAATGTATCAGAAACAACAAAAAAAGAAAAACCAAAATAATGTAGCTGAGGCAGAAGCATTATTTTTGACATGTATTCCCACACTTGACCCAGTCAATTGGTTGGTGTCTCCAATACTGTGTTCTGCTTACACATTGCTGCATAGCAGTCCCCTCCAAGACCTGGTGGCTGGCTAGGGTGTTTTCTTTCAAGCTTCTGTAAATTGACAGGACTCAGCTGATTTGCTCTCTCTTGGAGTCTCCTCTAGTGGTTGCAGTCCAGTGCAGCTTGGTCTTGTCATGTTAAAGATGGCACCTGAACTCCTGTGTCCCATGCCTTGGCAGGGTGCCAATGCAGCGGAGCATGTCCCGGCATCTCTCCCAGGCGGCCTGGGAGTAGCTTGGGCTTCCTCATAGCATAACAGTCGCAGGGTACTTGGGGTGTTACGAATGGGCTAGCTTCCCGAGGGAGCACATTTCAGAGGCCTCCACCAGGCTGCAAGACTTCCGTGACCTCGCCGTCACGTCCACTGTCCCCGGGCCATGGGGGTGCCAGCCTTCTTCAGATCTGCCTTCCACGCTGTCACTGCTGGTTTCCGGAAGGCTGGATATTATTGAAAGCCTTTTTTTTTCCCTCATAACATTGCCTACCATTTTTATAAAAGTTGCATTTATATTTAAATTTGACATTTCTGACATTTAATTGATTTTTGTGTGTGTGTGTGTGTGTGTGTATCATAGTATTCTTGAGAAAATACTGTCTCCGTTCTAAATTTCTCCATTTAGAACATGTAAATGTTTTGGCCCACGTATTTTCCCAGACATTGTCTTTTGCCTCCGCTCACTGTTTTTTTTCTGACAGCTCTCCCATAAATTGTCTTTATGATCGTTTGAATGCCTCATCAAATTTAGGTGCCACGAAACTGTAGGCCTTTTCAATTTCATTCCATTCCAGGACGGAATATAAATTTAACTAATTAAAAATGACAGCTCCTCCAAAAGATTCTTTCCAAAAATTGAAGCATTTTCTAATGCCATTATGGAATTTCAACATGAAATAAACTGTTTGAGGGCCAATCATTTATTAGTTCAGGTTTCCCCCCAAGAGAGGAATTTCAGGGTATTCTTGGTTACATGCTTTATGTTCAGTGGTTGCAGTTTCTTACATATTTTTAGAGCTGCAGGGTTTATTGTGCCTGATTTTATTTTATTTTATTTCTATAAATAATATTTTTATTGGTTTCAGAGAGAGGAAAGAAGAGGGAGAGAGAGAGAGAAACATCTGTCAGCTGCCTCCTGCATGCCCCTACTGGGGATCGAGCCCACAACCCAGGCATGTGCCCTGACAGGGAATCAGGCCAGTGATCTCCAGGTGCTTGGGACAAGGCTTAACCGTTGAGCCACACCGACTGGCATTTGTGCCTGATTTTTGTTTGTTTATTTTAATATGTTTTTATTGGTTTTTAGAGAGAGAGGAAGGGAAAGGGAGAGAGAGAGTTAGAAACATCGATGAAAGAGAAACATCGATCGGCTGCCTCCTGCACGCCCCCTGCTGGGGGAGCAAGCCTGCAACCAGGGCACGTGCCCTGACCGGGAATCAGGCTGGTGGCCTCTTGGTGCCTGTGCTGATGCTCAGCCTCTGAGCCATGCTGCCTGGGCTGTGCCCGGTTTTAAAAGGGCCGCTGCCGGGCCCGGACCCCTCCTGCGCAGGCCGTAGCGCACTGCCAGGCCGCAGATCTGCTTGTGTTCAGGATCAGCCTCACGGAGAACAGTTGTTACTCTGATAGACAAATATCTGTACAGTTTAATAACTGCAGCTTTAGTCCAGCCGGTGTGGCTCAGTGGTTGAGCCACATTCACCCCCGCACCGAGAGGCCCCCGGTTTGATTCCCGGTCTGGACACATGCCCAGGAGGCGGCCGATAGATGTTCTCTCTCATTGATGTTTCTGTCTTTCTCTCCCTCTCACTTCCACTCTCTCTAAAATCAATAAAGGAAAAATAAGTTTATTTTTAAAAATAAAATAACTACTGCTTTAGTTTCCATGGGTCAACCTCACAGCTTGTGGTGACACAATCATGCATTACTGCATGTAGCGAAGTCCAAGAATAGCCTGCCCCTTGGGTTTCCTGATGTGGTAAGAACATTTTACCATGACACGGTCCCTCACCAAACTGTGTACTTGAGTCTCACCACAAAAATAGTTTTACATTCAATGCGGGGCTTTCAGACCAAGTTTATAATAGCATGTCACCATCAACAAATCAAATGACTGCAGAAGTTAACTCAGTTGGCTTTCTGCTTGGAGCACCTGATTGGCACTGACGGCACACTGGCCTCTGTCGCGGTCGTGAAGTCTCGAAGCCCCAGCACAGAAACAGCCATTGCTTCAGCTCTTGTTCCTGCGCACTCCCTTGGGGCGGAGGAGTGAGTGCCGTGGACGGAGGGATGGCCACTGGGTCCACACGAGGTGGTTTCGGTTGTGTGGGAATACCGCAGTGCTGCTCACCATCGGCCAGTGTTCTTATCAGCCGGCTGGTGAAGACGCTGGAGCTTCTTCAGCAAATCTGAGGCTTGATTTTCTGGTTTGCGGTTAGCACTAGGGATGGTCAGTGGTGAGAAACATTCATGTTACGAAAGGTCATTAACCTTCTGGGAAAATGAAAATGTAGTTCTTCTCTATTTTTATCCTCACCCCAGGATATGCTTATTGATTTTAGAGGGGAGGGAGAGAGAAACATCTAAGGAGTGGCTTCAAAAAAGAAAGTATTACCCTCCCCACCCCGTAACAGAAACCCTGTAGATTTATATCAGACATTGCCAGATTTGGCCTGCTGCCTGTGTTTATCTTGTCTACGAGCTAAGAATTATTTTACATTTTTAAATGGTCAAAAACAATAAAAATGATATTTTGAGATGTGAAAATCGGACTTCGGGATCAATGAATGAAGTCTTGTTGGCTCACAGAGAGGCCCAGCCATTTACTGGGTAACCTGGCTGTCTCCCTCCGGTCCACAGCACCTGGCTTTACTGTGGCTTCACAGAAAGGACCGCCCTGGTGCGCACATTTGGTACATGACAGAACAATGGTGAGAGTGTTCAGACTGTTCGCATGCAGTCTGGCCCACCTGTTTCCCACACGTGTTCTGATACACCTTGAGATTCCCATGGATGTGGCTGACCGATGGCTTGACGGCTTCATACACGTCACAGGCCAAGGCACCGGCCACCTGCCTGATGCAGCCACCAGATGGGCAGCTGTGTGGAGCCTGACGGGCAAGCACCTGAGTGCAGGTCCTAGGATGGGAGGGGCTGCACTCTTCCCCTGGAGGAAGGAGAGGAGAGTGGCAGGTGGTCCTTGTCGTCTCCTGAAGTCACTCACCCAGCACAGCATCAGAGAAGACCGTGCAGATGCTAGAAGTCCAGGGTGAAGACCTGTCTGCCAAACCCACTCTGCTTCTTAGTTTAAGTCACCTGTGGATGATGTCATTGATGATAATAGTTTATTTAAACATGGAAATCTGGGACCCTGGCCAGTGTGGCACAGTGGTTGGAGCGTCGGCCCTCACAAAGAAGGGTCGTGGGTTTGATTCCTGGTCAAGGGCACGTACCTGGGTTGCAGGTTCCATCCCCTCTTGTGTCTCTCTCAAATCTATGTTTCCTTTTCTCTCTCTCTCCTCCCTCCCTCCCTCCCTTCCACTGTCTGGAAATCAATGGGAAAAAATTCCCTCATGAGAATTTTAAAAAATGAAAATCTGAGGTTTTTGCTATACCAACCTAAACAGGAAGGTTAAATTGGTATTATCCCCCAACTACCTCCTTCCCTGCGCGCAGCACCCTTCTGATTCCTCATCTGCCTCCCCTCCCCCTGCGCCAGCCCCATAGGCCTCCTCACTGCTGGGCACCACGGGCTCATCTCCATTCCTCTCACACGTATGTTCATGCGTCCCCTTCTTGGGGAGAGAAACACCCTCCCAAGCAACTTCTGGGGTGGTAGACATGTTCTGTATTACGATCTCAGAGATGGTGTCGCAGGTGCGGGCACCGTGGAAATCCATGGAGTTGTTCACTTCAAACGGGTGCAGTTTATGTTGTGTGTAAACTAAGCTTTGGTAAAGTTCTTTAAATGGGCTGCAGAGAGTGTAATAAAAACGTGTGTGGTCGTGGTTTTATATGTCAGGTTGAGATATATTATGTGTACATTTTGATGCCCGGGCTAGGTGGCTCGGTTGGTTGTAGCATCATCCTCTACACCAAAAGGTTTTGGGTTCGATCCCCATTCAGGGCACATACAGGAGGCAACCAATTGCTGTTTCTTTCTCTCCCTTCCTCTCTCTTTCTCAAAAAAAATCAATAAACATATCCTCATGTGAGGATAAAAAGATACATGCCCATCTGAACAGTCTTATGAAAATAAAAATAAAAACATTGATATTCTGAGTAAGGGAGGATTTTTATCAGTCAGCAAAATTTTAACTTAGTATTTCTTGAGAATATGATGTTCTGTTTCTCAAAACGTAACTCTCTAATTTTAGCAGGCGGGACCATCTTTCCATCTCCCGTTTGTTCATAGTTTATTCTGTCTGCACTTCTGTGCCCTAGAGGGCATTTTCATGTTCTACACGGTTTTAGGTAGTTTTGTGGTGTAAGAGTGTTGACTAGAAAATGTTTAACCCCTGTAGCTAGTTTGTAGATTGTTTTATACATTGAGGGTTAAATTTGGAGACAGTCTGTTCAGAGCCACGAAGTGGGTCCTGTTTGGTCTCTGAAAATCAAATTGTGTAGATTTTTTTTTTCTTTATTGCTTTTTTAGAGAGAAAGGGAGAGGGAGAGGGAGAGAGAAAGAAACATCGATGAGAGAGAATATCGATTGGCCGCCTCCTGCACGCCCCTCACTGGGATTGGGCCCACAACCTGGGCATATGCCCTGACCAGGAATCAAACTGGTGACCTCTTGGTGCGTGGGTCGACACACTCAACCACTGAGCCACACTGGCTGGGCATGCAGATATTTTTTTATTGTTATTGGATTTAGAGAGAAAGAGAAACATCCACCTGCTCCACTTACATATGCATTGGTTGATTCTTGTTATGTGCCCTGACCCGGGAATCAAACCCGCAACCGAATTGTGTAGACAGTATTTCTTTTCCTAACACTCATCTTTGGCACGCCCTTCGCCTGCAGGCACAGCAGGTTTTCTGACTTGAAGTCAGTGGTGCTCTGCCGGTTCTTGGTCTGAACTGCGGGCTCGTGGTGGAGTCCTGCCTGGGCCCAGTGGCCCGCACCCACTGCTGCAGCTCCGGGCATTGTCTCACTCCACAGGTGCCCCCCTGATGCTCACTACTTGTTTCTCTGCCCCAGGGGACCATCAGCGTTGGCATCGATGCCACTGACCTCTTCGATCGCTACGAGGAGGAGTATGAAGATGTGTCCGGAAGTGGCTTTCCGCAGATTGAAATTAACAAGATGCACATCTCCCAGTCCATCGAGGTACAGCACCCAGCGCACCGCGCAGCTGGCACAAGGGGGTCTGCTCGGGGCCTTTCTCGACTCTGTGAAAGGATTCAGTGGCCACTGCACAGAGAGAGCTGCATTCACAGCTGCTTGTCCCTGCTGTGCTGGGAAGCCAGCAGCACGAGCCTGGGCAGAGGAGTAGCCTCCTCGGGCCCGGGAGCCCAAGGTCGTGGTGATAGAGGAGAGAGAGCAGACCTCGTAGGTAATTCCAAGAACTGGTCTTAGTGTTTTTTGTTTGTTTTTTGTTTGCTTGTTTATTTTTATTTAATCCTCACCCAAGAATATTTTTCCATTGATTTTCAGGTAGAATGGGAGGGAGGGAGAGAGAAACATTGATGTGAGAGAGAGACATCATTTGGTTGCCTCCTGCACAACCCCAACCAGGGCCGGGGATTGAATCACAACTGAGGCACGTGCCCTTGACAAGAATCAAACCCGTGACTCTTTGGTCCACAGGCCAACACTCTAACTGCTGAGCCAGACTGGCCAGGGCAGAACCGGTCTTAGTTTTAAGGCATATTCTACTGTTCTGAAAACAATATTCAGCTGAGTCGTGGGTCACTGAAATGTCATCTTTCTGCCCGCTATTGGATGTGGCCATGCCAGGCCGCTCTGCCGAGGGTTGCAGTGGGTCTCTTGCCTCTTCTGCCCGTCTGTTGTCAAGTGCATCTGCCTAGAACCCGAAGTCCTGGCTCAGCCAGTGCGACCGTGGGAAGGCACATGGCGAGGTCACTGCAAACTGACACCGTGGGTACACCAAGAACCGCTATTGCCCCTGGTTTTTTGACATTCGCCCAGTTTTACAAACTGTGACCTTGGCGGCCACCCACAGTTCAGATGCCTCGGTGGGGGAGGGAAGCCAGTGAGGAGGCCCTTTGCCCCACCCGTGAGCCGTGGCGGCGCCTCCCCTCGGCCTGCTCTCGCGGGTCGTTCACCAGCCTGCTGTCCTTGGCACTTCCTCTTGCTCTGACTCATTTGTTACCAGCAAGTGTCGTTTCCTAGGCACCCTTGACGGCCACAGACACAGCCATCCTCTCTGGAAGCCTCTCGACCCAGAATGGGAACGGAGGGGGTTCCATCAACTTCGCGCTCAGACGAGTCACTTCCGCGAAGGGATGGGGAGAGGTAAGGGTCGGCTGGCGGGTCGCGTTGCCCGTCACAGAGACTTACATTTTACCATTTACACTCTAAAAGCTGACCCTCTGTGTAACACTTCATACTTCACAAGTTAACTCTTCCCAAGAGAAAAACTGCCTCATGTCTGAGAAGGGTCCCCTCGGTCCACCTCACAGCTCAGAGTTAGGCCAAAACAACAGAAGTTCCCTGGAGACGGCCACTTCCAGACAGCTAACCTCTGGAAGCTCGGCATCTTCGTTCCCTTGAGCAAAGACCTATGGGCAGTGGTTCTCAACCTTCCCAAGGCCACGCCGTTTAATTCAGGTCCTCATGTGGTGACCCCCACCATGAAATGATTTCCATTGCTACTTCATGACTGTAATTTTGCTACTGTTATGTCTTGGGCGACTCCTGTGAAAGGGTCGTTCGACTTCCAAAGGGGTCGCGACCCACAGGTTGAGAACCGCTGCTCTAGGTGTCCCGCTTCCCTGCATGACTGTGCTGGTGCCCTGGTCCACTGGGTGGCAGTCATGTAGCAGCCGGTTCTGCCGAGCAAATTGAGCTGCATCGAATTAACATTGAAGAGCTGCCTTGAAAGTCACCCAGACTAGTCAGTGAGGCAGGACTGGCGGGGCTGCCAAGGCTGTGAGTGCGGAACTGCTGCCAGAGTCAGCGTCAGCCCCCGAGAACCATCTCCAGTCACCTGTGAGGCCTGCAGACGGTGAAGCAGGCAGCAGGGAAATGCAGAGCCGAGGGCACTGCGAGGGAGGGCCACACCTGCCTGCGCTGCCGGGCGCCTGGGGGGCTGAGCCGTGTTCCTGGAGGGAGGGCTCCTTGCTGAAATGCGCCCCAGTGGAGGCTGCCTTCTTTGGGTCAGTGGACAGGGCTGTCTGCGTCTGCAGAGGGGAGGTGAGACGGGAATCTCCCAGCCCTGCTTCGAGCACCCTGCAGAGGCCTGCGGCATGTGCTCAAACGGAGGGACGGGCAGCAGTGCTGACCTGAGCCCTGGGCTGCTCGGGCACGAAGCACCTCAATGCTTTTCCTTCCTTCTCTGAACAGCTAGAATTTGGAGCTGGGGATCTGCAGGGGCCTCTCTTTGGTCTGAAGCTGTTCCGTAATCTCACGCCAAGATGGTAAATATAAAGAGATAAGCCCTCTCTGATGGTCTGAGGGTCGGGGTCAGAAGCTGTGTGTTCTTATTGTCAGGTCATCCGGAGTTGCCACCTGCCCTGCAGAGTCACTGGGCAGGCCCTGCGGGCTGGCGTGGAGAGCGCCGGGGCCTGCTCCTGCCTGCCCGGTCACTCTGGGCCGAGGACCACGAGACGAGGGGAGGCGTCTTCATGGGGCATAGGTTAGCGGTTTGACACATGATGAGTTTGTGCACCATCTCTTTGTCCCGAGAGTGTGCATAAAGCCCTGAAAAGGGTTCTGTGGGCAGCCCGTGAGACCACGGGGGCTTGGGGAGGAGGTGCGAGAGCTGTAAGCCCTGTGGCGGTGATGTCACTCCCCTGAAGATATCGCCATGTCCCTTCTAGAACAGCAGGTGTCCTCATTCCCATTTGGGGTACCTGTGTGAGCTCTCAGACAAGGACTGAGTGGAAGGTAAACGACGGCCTCTTTCCTCTGGGGATGACGTAGCTCAGGGAGCCTGGGCCGGGAGTAGCTCACTGCGCTGGGTGTGTGTTGGCGTCTGCCATATTCTGCAGGGTCAGACCGCTCCCTTCCCTTTGGTCTGTGGTGAGAGCAAGTCCGCAGGTCCATCGGGCATACGGGGGGCAAGGGAAGTGTGGGATAGAGGACATGTCATCCGGGACAGGGGACCACAGCTTGTGAAGATGAGCGCTGGGCAGGGCACTCGGGTAGGGGGCGCACGGATCCCTCCGGTGGAGCCCGGCTTCTCCCCTCTGCTCCAGGACTCGGGTCAGGGTCTGGGAAGGGGCAAGATTTATACTTTCAACCAGAGCATCAGGTGAACAGTGCCTTCAGCTCGTGTCAGCGTTGCCCTAACCTCTGCTGAGGATCGTCACCTCTGATGCTGACTGACTGTCCCTAACCCCACCTCAGACCCCTGAATCAGGCCCTCTCGGGGAGAGCCTGGAACTCGAGTCTGAGCAAGCAGAGCAGGTCATTCTGAAGGCCAGATGGGCACGTGGGAGACATGTCTTTTTTTTCCATTTTTCCATTTTTTGTTCAGATAGAGTGGGAGGAAGAGAGAGAGAGAAACATTGATGTGAAAGGGACACATCGAGGGGCTGCCACCCGCACGACCAACCCGGGCCAGGGACAAACTGCAACCGAGGTACGTGCCCTTAGCGGGAACCGAACCCGGGTCTCTCCAGACTGCAGGCCGACGCTCTGACCGCTGAGCCAAACCGGCCAGGGCGGGAGACATGTCTTTGAAGAAAATCTGTTGGCCCTTACATCTGCTTGAGCCTCAGTGTCTGTCCATGGGTCTAGGGCTGACTCATCATCAGCTTTTGCAGGTGTGGAAATTTCATCATAGTCTCCAGTTTATCAGACTTGAATGATGTATAAACAAGGACATTGGTTTATTAATGTGCGGTGTCTGCTCATAGGGTGACCTGATCCCAGGGTCCAGCTCCTTGCGAGTCCCAGTTAGTGATCAGAAAGGTTGGTTGGTGTGGAGTCCGCCCGAGAAAAGCAGAAATGCTCTGTGGGGTGTTCTCGGTCTCTCTGCAGGGCCTGCCTTGCTGGTCTCTCCCCAAAGACTCTCTAGGGCATTATGGGTAAAAATAAACAGGGATCTCCCTCTTTATATTTTGGTTCTTATAATGTCACTGTGTAACTGTCTTAAAATTCTAGGGGTGACTTTTGTCTCTCTTCCTGCTTGCTCCCCACCGCAGTGTGACTAAAGCAGAAATGTAGCCTTTGCAGTGCTACTTGAGGTTGAGCTCAACAAAGGGGAGGCTAGGTGAGGACCTGAGGAGGGTAAGGAGCTAATGCATTTGGCTGTGGTATTAACACCTGGAGTCAAGTGGTATGAATTCCTTTGTTACTGAAATGAAGTTCCCCTTTTTAACCAGAAGGTGGGGCTGGCTCCCTGGAAACAAGTTTCAGAGGCCTTTGGGGGAATGGTTTACTGTGTGGCAGGTGCTAGCGTAAGGTGCATCGGTTCATTCCTGTCTTGAGATGCCTTAGGAACTGAACGCCTTTTATATCAGTTAGCCTGTGATAAAACTGGTTTTGTTATACATCATGTAGCTTCAAAGTTGCAGAATCTATCAAGGACATTAAGTGAGGACTTCCTGTACCAGCTTTGCAAGCAACTTCGGTCTGTGGATGTCCGTCAGAACCCCATGGGCAGTTTTTTCATGCCTGGGCCCCCACCAGGAAATTCTGGCTTAAATGGCCTGAGCTGGGCCCTGAGTGGTGGTTCTCAGACACTGCTGCACATTTAGCCACCTGGCCAGCTTTCCACACTTCACCCACAATGCCTGGGGGCAGGAGCCCACCGGCAGCATTTTGTAGACCAGCAGGTGATGCTAGTGTGCGGGCAACTTCAGTGCCTGGGATTGGCTCCCCTGGCTGGGAGCAGACCTTCGGGTGCCTCTGGTTGTGGCTGGGAGGAGGGGTGCAGATCAGCAGGGAGATTGCTGGGAAGGTTTCCGCCGAGTCACCCTCGGTTCCCTCTTGTGACAGAGGCTTGGCTCCCTGCCCCCAGGCTGGGGCTGGCCCAGGGGCAGGGGGGTGAGTGAGCGGATCTTCGCAGGGAGGAAGGCCAGGGACAGCGGAGGGCCAGGCATCATCCGGGACCCTTTCTGTCTGTCTCCCCAGCTTTGTGACCACCAACTGTGCCCTGCAGTTTTCGTCCCGCGGAATCCGGCCGGGCCTCACCACCGTGCTGGCTCGGAACCTGGACAAGAACACCGTGGGCTACCTGCAGTGGCGGTGGGGTATCCAGTCGGCCATGAACACGAGCATCGTCCGGGACACCAAGACCAGCCACTTCACTGTGGCCCTGCAGGTGAGAGACCAGTCCCCCCGCCCCTCAGTGGCCCTGGCAGCCTGCACGCTGGCCGCCCTGCCCGGATCTGAGCGCCTGTGGAGGCTCGGTGGGCAAGCTCCATCACTCCCACTCGGGTGCTGAGGTGCCGTCGTTCTCAGCCTCCCGGGGTGGCTGTGTTCACTTATCCCAAAGCCAGGCGCCTTTTCACAGTGGGAGGAGCGCCCAGAATCGGGGGGAGGGGCGCGGGGAGTGAGAGGCCCCCCTCAACGGCAGGTCTCACCGGCTGCTGCATGCAGGAATGCAGGGCTCAGTGCTACAGGCTTCCTTCTTCGTTTTTGTTTTTTGTGTTTTTTTTTTCATGAGAAGGCAGAAAACGGGTTTTGTGTGAAAGCTCCCAGTGTTTAAATATTGGCTATTTAAAATGTTTAAATTTTTACACACTTTGTGGGGCTGCCAGAGGGTGGCCGCTGAGAGGCCTGCCCGCAGCTTCTGCTCAGCAGTCGGGCAGCGCCTCCTGCAGGCAGCGGCCTCACCCCCAGCCGTGGCCTCTGTCCCCGCAGCTCGGAGTCCCTCACTCCTTCGCACTCGTCAGCTACCAGCACAAGTTCCAGGACGATGAGCAGACCCGCGTGAAAGGCTCCCTTAAGTGAGTCCCGGCCTGGCTGGCCTGGGAGCGTGCTGACCTGCGTGGGGTGGGGCTGGGTGATGGTGCTGCCGCGGGGTGGGAGCTGCCTGCTCGTGTTCGTCTATCCTGTGGGACATTTCTCAAGCACCTCCTACTGAGAGGCAGTGGGATTCACTACTGAGTGGCCCCAAGGGTCGAGAGACGGGGGTCAAATGGACGAGCTAGACCATCGGTGCCCTCGCTTTGTTCTCTCCACTGGCCGAGGATGTTAGTCGTGTCTACTTCCTGGGTGCTGGGGAGGGCAGGATGGGGCTGGTGCACGACCAGCCTGTTCTGAGGGACGGTGCCCGTGCTCCTGGGCGCTGTGGGCCCTGGCTGGCTCACTGCCATCTGCTCCCTGCAGGGCAGGCTTCTTCGGGACGGTGGTGGAGTACGGGGCCGAGAGGAAGATCTCCAGGCACAGCGTCCTGGGCGCGGCCGTCAGCATTGGAGTCCCACAGGGCGTGTCTCTCAAGGTCAAGTAAGTGGAGCTCGGTATTTGTGGTCACAGGTTATCTGGCTTGTAACTCACCTGGGTTTCACCTGTGTTAGGGATGAAACAGATTTCACTTTGTAATGTTCTCAAAGAGGCGGTTGCTTCTTCTGTCTTTGGCGTTTAAACAAACATGAGGGAGCCGGTGAGCTCCACCTTCAGTCGCGAGGTCTGTGTCCCTGCATTCAGAGACCTTCTGCGTACTCTGCGGCCTGTGTCTCTACTGCCCTCCGCCTCCCTGACGGCCCTGGGCCTGGGCCCGGGCCCGGGTGCTGGCTCCACGTGCCCCTCCCCGCCCTGCTCACCCACGCGGCGCACGTCCAGCGTCCTCGCAGCACAGGCAGCGGCAGGCGACCCCTGCGCTGGTCCTCCCTGCCTCTGGTTGCACCTGACTGGCTGGCTGCGTCTGAACGGAGGCCTCCTGCAGGGCCAGCTTGTCTGTCGGACTCACTCCCCGGGGGTCTCACCAGCCGCAGCCTGTGGCCTTCAGGGCCTCTGTGACTGGTGACTCACACTCAGAGCTCCGGCTCAGGTGTTTGACTTCCTTTCCCTCTCCCCCTCGGACACACGTCCTGCACAACCTGCTCTGCCCGAGGTCTCCCCATCTTGGGAACTGGCCACCTGCCAGTGCTCTGCCCCAGCCCTTGGAGTGCGTCCTGAGCGCTGTGTCCCGAGCTGAGTTCAGCGCGCCCGGGCCGTCCCAGTGCTCCTCTGCCACAGCGCCGAGGGAAGCGCAGCCTCACCGCCCCGTGGCTGCGGCCCTGGCTGCGCTGGCCCATCTCCTTCCACACGCACAGTGTGGACATTAAGTCAGCGTATGTCACCCTGCTGCCCGGAGCCTGCAGGGCTGCCTCAGTGCAGGGCAAAGCCAGCACCCTTCAGGGCCCGCGTGACCCAGCCCCGTGCGGTCCTTCCGACTTCTTCTCACACCCACCCCTGCTCACCGCTCCCATCGGGCTGGCCTCCGCGCCGCTCCTGGACGCACCAAGCCCGGTCCAGCTGGTCCTCGCTCCCCAGATTACTACATGGTTGGTCCCTTTGATCCCCTTAGATCTCTGCTCAGATGTCACCTGATTGCCAAGACCATCCTCACCTTGTCACAGACAGTCCCTTTCCTGGTCCCCCTGTTAATTCTTCTCCACTGCACCCACTTCCATGTGTACTCCTTCCGCCTAGAACACAGCCTGTCACCGGAGGCTGTGCCAAGAACACAGAGGGAGAGGGGTCACGGGAGGAGGCAAACACACCTCAGTGTTGGAGAGGCAGCAGGTCACCAAGGTCAGGGCGGATCTGAGGACAGAATGTGTCACTGCCCTCGACTCAGCCTGCTGAGGACGGTAACTGGTGTCTGCTGATGCCTGTCCGTGCTGAGTCGTCTCCATCCATGTGGCCAGGCTGGTGTCCAGCTTAGAGTGCTGCTGGGAGCTCTCTGCTTGGAGCATGGCGTCCAGGTGACAGGACCGTGATGTGTGGGTCCTCCTTTAGCACCTTCTTCAGTGAGGGGCACTGGCAAGCCTGTGCCCAGGGCGGTGTCTGTAGACACGGAGCCCACGGTCATGGACGAAGGTCGCACTGGTACCTGCTGCCAGCTCCGCCACCCTGAGCTCATCACAGGCGAGGAAGCTGCTGGTAACCGTGTCCGTGGGCACTGCCCTGTTGGCAAGGAGCTCGTTGACCTCCTCCTGGACCACTCAGGAAGCTGGCAGCCAGTGCGCAGGTCTTCAGGGTTCTTGGTTCCCCAGAGCTCTGGTGGGGAACTGGTTCTGGGTTCACCTCCCTGTAATGGGACAGCTCTGTTGATTAGGGCAAGAAATCCAAGCTGGAGTTCCTTTGCCCAGCTGCCAGGTTTCCACAGCTGTGGCTGAGCCCTGCAGCTCCACCCTCACCACCACTCCATCCTGACTGCCCTCGGGTGACAGTGAGGCCGTCTACAGTGTCTCGTAGAAACCTCAGTATTGAGCTCCCAACCTGCACTAAGCTCAAACGCCCCATTTGCCAGATGGTGTCCTCCATCGATGCTTCCCTCGGGTGGGGGGTTGCAGCCCTGGATGTTGATCTGACCGAATTCCAGACCAACGCGGTGCTCCCCTGCCTCCGCTCCCCTCTGGCCACGTCGGCCCTGTCATCTCTGCCGAGAACGCCCACCAGGAGCAGCTTTCTGCAGCAGAGGGGAAGTGTGCCCTCGCCACGGGAAACACGGGGCTTGCTGCCTGCCGTGCCGTGGTGCTGTAGCCCCCAAAGATGCCAGTGCTGCCATTGCCACTGTCAGCACCAAGCGCAGCATCCAGTACGTGTGCTGGTGTCCCCCTGGCTTCGAAGTTGGCGTTAATTGCCAGCCTCTCACTGTGGTACCTGGTGGAGACCTGGCCAGAGTACAGAGGCCCGTGCTCACCTGGCCCACAATTTGACCTGATGTACCCCAGGCATGCCTTTGTCCACTGGTACGTGGGTGCGGGCATGGCTGCCCTTGAGGACTGCGAGGAGGTTGGTGTGGATTCTGCTGAAGGAAAGGGTGAGGAGGGAGGAGAGGAATCCGATCACCTTTCCTTTCGGCCCTGCAGCCTCTCACACTCCGCACACCAGGGTCAACGGCTGGCAGGCATTGGAGCTTTCTGGGTAGAGCGTCTCCGTTCTGACCTCTGTCTTCTGTCTTCCACGTGTGCCTGTGAGGTCTTTCCCTCATGTCTCCAAGTACAGGCATTGATTCTGCATTCCGATCTCTTCCCCGCCTCTCCCAAACGGGGACCACTCACGAGACAGTGTCCGGTGGCTCAGTTTCTGTTCAGATGTACGGGACCCCATCTGAGCTGAGCTCGTGTCCCAAGAATGCACTCAGGCCTGTCGGAGAGAACATTTCATTTCAGCTGAGTTTTCTAGTTCAACAGGCTGCATTGTCCACATTGTATTGGTAAATAAACCAAGGTTTTGCCAAAAGAGCCAGAGTTCAGCAGCAGCAGATGATCTTACTTTGCTAAATAGAACTTTTTTCTTACATTTGTTTGTTTGATGAGCCACATTAAAATTTTAAATATTAAACCAAGCTTGCATTCCTGAGGAAAATTCCAGTTGATAATGATGTATACTTTTATTTTTCCTGATTTGATTAGCTAATAGTAAGGGTTTTTGTGACTATGTTTGTAAGGGATGCTGGTCTATACTTTTTTTTTTTATTATGTATTTGTTAGGGCTTGGAATGAGTTATGCCAGCCTGATAAAATGAGTTAGGAAGTGTTCCCTCTTCCTTATGTTTTATAGGGCTCACCAGTGAAACCAACCGAATCTGAATCTCCATTGTTTTTGTTAAAGAATTCAAATTTCTCCATAAATATAAGGCTTTTTCAGTATTCTCTTTTCACTATTCTCTTTCAGCTCTGTTCATTTGTGTTTTTCTTTTTTTTTTTTTTTATCCTCACCCAAGGACATTTTTCTATTTATCTTCAGATAGAGAGAGAGAAACATCAATGTGAAAGAGAAACATCAACTGGTTGCCTCCCGCATGACCCTGACCAGGTCCAGGGACAAACTGCAACTAAGGTATGTGCCCTTGACCAGAACTGAACCCGCAACTCTTTTTTTTTTTTAATTTTCACCAGAGGATATTTTTCCATTTATCTGCAGATAGAGTGGGAGGGAGATAGAGGGAGAAAGAGAAACATTGATGTGAAAGGGACACATTGACTGGTTGCCTCCCACATGACCTGACCATGGCTGGGGACAAACCGCAACTAAGGTACATGCCCTTGGCTGGAATTGAACCCGCAACTCATTGGTCCACGGGCTGACGCTTTACCGCTGAGACAAACAAGACAGGGCTCATTTGTGTTTTTCAAGGAATTTGTTCACTTTATGTAAATGTTAAATTTGTTAGCATAAAGTAATAATATACCCTTGTCCCTTTTTTAAATATATTTTTAGTGATTTTTAGAGAGAGAGAGAGAGAGAAACTTGTATGCAGGAGTGTAACATCTATTGGCCACCTCCTCTACACCCCCACTGGGGATTGAGCTCGAAACACGGGCATTTTCTCTGACCCAATTGAACCAGCAACATGTGGGACAATGCCCAGCCAACAGCCATGACGGCCAGGGCTATGCCTCTATCGCTTTACCATCCGCAGTTATCTGTAGGTAACCCTTTCTTTATTCCTAATGTTGGTAATTTGTATTCTTTCTCCCTCTTTCTTAATCAGTCTGGCTAAGGTACTTAACTTTTCAAAGAACCAGATTTTAGCTTAGCTAATTTTCTCTATTGTTTACCTGTTTTCTGTCTCATTGGTTTCTGATTTTATTTCCTTCTTTCTACTTATTTTGGTTTAATTGGCTCTTTTTCTAGCTTTTTAAGGTTAAACCTTAGATTACGAACTTGAGACTCCTTCTGACATAAACTTTTAGGGCTGTGTGTTTCCTGTGCCCATCGCTCTCCTCAGCCCCACAGATGTGACGTTGTGTCACTGTCTTAATTCACACTGTTTCTTTTTTTAATTTTTTTTTTCTTTATTGATTTTAGAGAGAGAGGAAAGGAGAAGGAGAGGGAGATAGAAACACAGATGAGAGAGAACATCGCCCTGGCCGGTTTGGCTCAGCGGTTGGAGCGTCGGCCTGCGGTCTGGAGAGACCCGGGTTCGGTTCCCGCTAAGGGCGCATACCTCGGTTGCAGTTTGTCCCCGGCCCTGGTTGGTCGTGCGGGTGGCAGCCACTCAATGTGTCCCTTCACGTCGATGTCTCTCTCTCTCTCTCTCTCTCTTCCTCTCTCTCCCTCCCGCTCTATCTGAACAAAAAAATGGAAAAATATCCTCGAGTGAGGATAAAAGAAAAAAAGAGAGAGAGAGAGAGAGAGAACATTGATTGGCCGCCTCCTGCATGCCCCCCACTGGGGATCGGGCCCACAACCTGGGCATGTGTCCTGACCGGGAATCAATCCGGTGACCCCTTGGTGCAGGGGTCAACACTCAACCACTGAGCCACACCGGCCGGGCCTATTTCTTATTTCACTTAGAAATATAGTGCTTAGTTTCCAAATATTTGGGTTTTTCCCCCCAATATCTCATTATTGATTTCTAATTTAATTTCATTTTGGTATCTGTTAGGTCAAGATAATTGACAGCATTTGTCAGAAATCAGAATTTTAATGACTCGACTGATTTTGTTGAGTTCTATCAACTGTGAGAGACATGTTGAAATATCCAACTTCGGCGCTGGGTGGTTTGGCTCGGCGATTAGAGCGACAGCCCGTGGACCAATGAGTCATGGATTCAATTCCAGTCAAGGGCACGTACCTTGTTTGCAGCTCGTCCCTGGCCCTGGTCAGGTTGTGCAGGAGGCAACCATTGGATGTGTCTCTTACATCCATGTTTCTCTCTCTTTCTCTCTCTCTTCCTTCCTCCCTCTCTCCCATTCTGTCTGATGATAAATGGAAAAGTCCTCGGGTGAGGATTAAAAAAGAGAGAGAGAAGAAAGAACGGAGAGAAAGGGAGCATCGATTGGCCGTCTCCTGCATGCCCCCGACTGGGCATTTGGCCCACAACCTGGGCATGTGCCCTGACGGAATTGAACCTGCGACCTCTTGGTACATGGGGTTGACACTCAACCACTGAGCCACACCGGCCGGGCCATCCTTTTTTTTTTTTTAATTCTCACCCGAGGACAGTTTTACATTAATCTTCAGATAGAGTGGGAGGGAAAGAGGAAGGAAGAGAGAGAGAAACGATGTGAGAGAGAGACATCGATTGGCTGCCACCCACACATCCCCAACCGGGGCCGGGGACGAACCACCACCGAGGTACGTGCCCTTGCCAGAATCAAACCCGGACTCTTTGGTCCGCAGGCGACGCTCTTACCACTAGCCATACTGGCCAGGGCCAGGCCATCCTTTTTATTGTATATTTCTGTGAGTTTTGACAGTCACATAAGTCATAGAACGTTGGCCTGAGCTGCCCAGTTAGTATGGCTCAGTGGTTGAATGTGGACCCTGTACCAAGAGGTCGCCGGTTCGATTCCCGGGTAGGGCCTGTGCCCAGGATATGGGGGGGCATGCAGGAGGTGGCCCATCGATGTTCTCTCTCATAGATGTTTCTATCTCCCTCTCCCTTCCTCTCTCTCTAAAATCAATAAAGAAAAAAATTTTTTTAAAAAAAGAACCGTGGCCTGAGGGCCGAAGGGCTGTGGATTCGATTCCCAATCAAGGGCATGTGCCTGGGTTGCAGGTTCCATCTCCGGCCCCACTGGGGTTGTGCGAGAGGCAACCAGTTGATGTGTCTTTCTCACATGGATGTTTCTCTCTGTTTCCCAGTCTCTCTCTCTCTCTCTCTGGAAAAATATCCTCGGATGAGGATTAACAACAACAACAAAAAAGATAAAGAACATTTTTCATCTTCCCCCAAAATTCCATTATGCCTTTTGTGTGGTTCTCCAGCCCTGCCAGCCACTGATCTGATTTTGTTATATTTTTGTCTTTTCAAAATGTCACGTAGATGGAATTATACAGTTGAAGCCTGTTGTGTTTCTCTGATGGGCATAATGCATTTGAGATGTGTCCATGCTGACGCATTTGTCAGCGGTGTGCTTGTTTTTATTGTCGCTCATTATTGCATTGTATGGATGTTCGTGGTCTGTTCATCAGTTTAAAAAGGCTTACTTCCAGTTTTGGAGGGCTACAAACAAAGCCAATAGAGACATTCATGCGCAGGTGTTGTAGGAACATTAACTTTTTTTTTTTATCCTCACCTGAGGACACTTTTCCATCTTTGTTCAGATAGAGCGGGAGGGAGAGCGAGGAAGAGAGAGAGAAATATCGATGTGAAAGGGACATACCGAGTGGCTGCCTACCACACGACTCCAACCAGGGCCCAGGGACAAATCGAAACCGAGATACCTGCCCTTGGTCAGAATCGAACCCTTCCTTGACTCACTGGTCTGCGGGCCGACACTCTAACCACCGAAAGAAACTGGCCAGGGCGGAACATTAACTTTTGATATCTCTTGGGTAAACAGTAGGAGTAGGTGTGCTGAGGCATATGGTAGGTGTGCGTTTACTTCCTAACAAAGTGCCCAGCCATTTTCCAAAGTGGTGGCTTTGTTTTCCTTTCCCACCAGCCGCAGGAGACTTCCAGTTGCTCTATGTCCTCTACAGTCTTTGGGTGTGGCCTTAATGTTGCCTATTGCATGGTTTTGATTTGCATTTTCCTAAAACTAATGAGATGAGTTGAGCATCTTTTCATGTGCATATTTGTCATCCATATATCTTTTTCAGTGAAGTCTCTATTTAAATCTTTTGTCTGTTTGCTTCTGGGGTTGTTTGGTTTATTTTTTCGTTTTGAGTGTTCTTCATCAATTCTGGAGGTTTTCTTTTTGAAGGATATTGTCACTGGGCATAGAATTGAGGGTTGGTGGACTCTTTCTTTTCGTGCTCTAAGTGATGCTCTGCTTGTCTTCTGGCATCAGTTGTTTCTGACAAGTCTTTCATCATCGGAACCATTACTTCCCTGAGTATAACAGCTTGTTTTCCTGGCTGCTCAGCTCCGGCTGGCTTCTGTTTCCAGCCGAGTGACTGCAGGGCACTGGATGTGGCTTTGCTGTGTGCGCTGCTTAGGCTTTGCTAAGCCTGCATTTGCAAACTTAAATCCTCTGTCAAATCTGGTATTTTTAGGTCATTAATCTTCAAATAGGTATTCCTGCCTCATTCTGTCTCCTGTCTGGGGCCCTAATCACTTGCATGTTAGGTCTCGTTTTCCTACAGGCCTCTGAGGTTCTGTCTGTCTGTCTTCAGTCTCTTTTTGTTCTGCCCACTGGGTAGTTTCTTTTGGTGTGTCTCCAGTCTGCTGTTGGGCCCATGAGCCCATCCAGTGAATGTAGATGTCTTTGAGCGTAATTAAAACTGCTGCTTTAGCCCTGGCCGGTTTGGCTCAGCGGTTAGAGCGTCGGCCTGCGGTCTGGAGAGACCCGGGTTCGGTTCCCGCTAAGGGCACGTACCTTGGTTGCAGTTTGTCCCCAGCCCTGGTGGGGTCGTGTGGGTGGCAACCACTTGATGTGTCCCTTTCACATCGATGTTTCTCTCTCTCTCCCTCTCACTCTATCTGAACAAAATATGGAAAAATGTCCTCGGGTGAGGATAAAAAAAAAACAAAAAAAAACTGCTGCTTTAAATCCTCCTGCTAGTTCTAAGCCCGGCCGGTGTGGCTCAGTGGTTGAGTGTTGACCCAGGCACCAAGATGTCGCCAGTTCGATTCCTGTTCAGGGCACATGCTCAAGTTGTGGGCCTGATCCCTAGTTGGGGGCATGCAGGAGGCAGCCAATCGATGTTCTCTCTCATTGATGTTCCTGTCTCTCCCTCTCCCTTCCTCTCTCTGTAATCAATCAAGAAAAAAATAAAATAAAATCCCACTGCCATTTCCACTTACTGGGCGCCTGGAGTTGGTTTCTGTTCATTACCTTTTTCTCCTTTTATGTAAGACTGTAGTTTGTGTCGTATCCTGAGTGTTGTGAAGGATACATTGTAGAGACTCTATATGCCGTTATGTTTCTCAGAGAGGTGCTGGTTTCCCCTTTTAGAACGTAAATAGTAGTCATACTGCAAGCTCAGACTCCCTGGGTGGCAGCAGTCAAAACACAGCGGTCATTTTACCTTCAGCTGGGCCACTGCTGTGCACTGATGTGGAGATTCTGAGGCTCCCCGTCGCGGACCTTCCTTTTTGTTCACTGACTTTGGGGGACCCTCCCTAGTTCCCAGCTACTATGGTTGCCCCACAGTAGTTGGGGTTCTGGTGCTTCAACCTAATTGGACTGCAGATTGCATCCAGATTTAGCCCTCCGGGTGGTACAGATTGAAAGTTGCCTTTGGGCTAAAAGCTGGGTGGGGGCCCAGGAAGCTCAGCAGTTCCATATTCTACATTTCAGCTCTCCTGGGTCTGCCTGCCTTTAGTTGCAATTAGTGCCTGAAAGTCTTGGTGGTACCTTCGTTATCTGTGGGGTGATTCACCCAGTAGGAGCAGCTCGGCCGCTACAGGAAGCAGAGTCTCCTTAGCTTGCTCGCTGTGGGAGCTTCACACACTTCTTTCGAACAGGGAAGTTGAGGACTGAGCTGTGACTGTCTCTAGGACCCAGGACGAGTGTCCACCCCTGTCTCCTAAGGCCGCATTCGCTCTGGTCGAGCCTTAGGTCAGCAGGTACTGGGGCCTTTGTTCTGTCACAGGCATCAAGTCCAGCAGCTGAACTTTGGAATGGGGACCGAAAAAGGGGAGTGGGTTATGAACAAGCCGACTCGGGCTCCGTCTAACTGGCGTTCTGTGTGACTGAGAGGCTCTTCCTGGGGCTGAGACCCCGTCTCCCTTCCCTGGAAACTTGACTCATCTTCGATGTTTTGTTCTTTCTGTTTTCAGGTTAAACCGGGCCAGTCAGACTTACTTCTTCCCCATTCATCTGACGGATCAGCTCCTCCCCAGCGCCGTGTTCTATGCCACCGTGGGGCCCCTGGTGGTCTACTTCGCCATGCACCGTCTCGTCATCAGACCGTACCTCAGGGCTCAGAAGGAGAAGTGAGTGGGAAGCAGGCACAGGGCGCAGGGCGTCGCTCAGCAGGCGGGCCGGGGCCTGTCTCAGCTGGCGACGTAGTGCTGGAACCCACCCGCATCTGCATTAGGGCATTTCCTTACTTACTTCATTTTTTCTAAACATTTTCAATTTCTTGGTCAGTTTTTTTGTTTGTTTGTTTATTTCTTTGTTTTTTTTTGTTAATCCTCACCTGAGGATACTTTTCCATTGATTTTTTCAGAGAGAGTGGAGGGAAGGAGGGAGGGAGGGGGAGAGAGAGAAAGAAATATTGATGCAAGAGAGACACATGGATTGGTTGCCTCTCGAATGAATAAACCATGACCCTTTGGTCCACAGGCCGACACTGTGACCGGTGACGAAACTGGCCAGGGCAGGAAGGTTATTTAATGCATGTGAAGTGCAGAGGGTTCGGTCCATGAGAAGTACTCAGCAGATGTTAACTTACAGTACAAGTACTGTTCTCCCCCTCCGTTTGCCTGCATGCCTCCCTCCAGAAAGGACTCGAGTTAGCTTACCGACTTGTTGAAACTGAGCCGTGGCCAGAGAAATGAGCTGCTGTTTCCCCGTTCTGACCATTTACTTCCTGGCGCTGGGTTCAAGGGGACTGGGGTGACCAGAAGGGAGCAGTGACCACAGCTTAGACACCGTAGAGATGTAATTCATTCCATAACCTTTGTCGGTAATTCATCAGGACATAAGGTCAAGTCTTTGTTACTTTGTAATGATTGAATTTCATAAAGCATTGAGCTTAGGCAGCAATTTTCAACGGCTGTGCCCCAGGAATTTTAAAACATGCAGTACCTAACTAGTTATTTAGTCAGGGGCACTGACCTCTTTTCCCTTAGGTTGTCGAATCGAAACATGATGACAGCCAACACAATAATGGCTGTCCAGTATGAATGAATCAAACCATACCTTTTTTCCTGTCAGATAGGCCAAAAGTATGTTTTGGTGTGCTGCAGCCATGCGTGTGTGCCATGAGACGGAAAAGATGGGACATCGCTGAGCTTAGGGGCTCCGGGAGGAAGGAAGGACTCTCCTCTTCCGGCCCCTCTAGCTTTCAGATCCAGAGAGTTCAGGGTCCTAGTTTCCCAGGAGGAGTGAGGCATTGAGTCTTCTGACGGGTGCTGCCCGCGTCCTTGTGCTTTGCCGAGGAGAAGATATATTCTGTATCTTCACTCATGTGTCCTTCCCGGAGTGTGATGTAACAGTCCCAGAAGGTTGGCAGCATCTGCTGTGGTTCTTGCCTTCTCTGACCTCCCATATCCCTGAGAGGCCTGTCAGCTGGGGGCTTCTGTCCAAAGGGACTGGCAGTGAGTGTCCAGTGTGCTCCAGCGAGCAGGTGGGGGAGAGCCAGCTGGGGACACAGAAAGCTGCGCCGGCCTGCGACAAACATTTGCTTGAGGTGGTCTTGGAAATACGTTTTGCAGTTCTAGGACTCGGAATGCAGTAGGAGCACGGACTGTTTGCTGGGCTCGGGCCCACGGGGTGACACCATGCTAATGTGCGGATTGTTTTTCTCGCACAAGGGAGCTGGAAAAGCAGAGGGAGAGCACAGCCACCGACATCCTGCAGAAGAAACAGGAGGCAGAGGCTGCAGTGAGTGCTCGTCCGCCCCGGGTGCTCGCGGTGCTGCGTCTGCGTGCGGAGCCCCACCGCTCTCCCCTGGGCCCCGGCCTCGCCTCGTCCCGGCTGCTTCCCCACAGCTGCGCCGGCCACTGCAGTCGGTGTCGCCGCTGGCATGTGATGCTGGGAGCTACCCAGGCCCAGCTCCAAAGATGAGATCCGTTTACCCTCAAAGAGCATAGCAGTGTTTTATTTATTTCTTTATCTTTATTGTTGAGCAAGTTTGCTTTGTTTTTTTAAAGTAGTGGGCGTTGCCCTCTTTTTCTTCCCCTCTGTGAGTTGCTTTTGAACAACAGCTCTCCTGGAGAGACGGTGGGCCCTGCGGGCTCTCTGCGGGCTCTCTGTGCACAGAGGAGGGCACATGAACAGGCACGGGCCGTGGCTCTGAACAGGGGCGGTGACGGCCACCTGCCTTGTTCTTTGCAGGTCCGGCTGATGCAGGAATCCGTCCGAAGGATCATCGAGGCGGAAGAATCCCGGATGGGTGAGAAGGCATGGCCTCCCTGGGGACAGGGTGGGCGTGGGGGCACCGGGAGAGGGTGCCCAGCCGCGGCCCGCCCTGCTCTGACCGAGCGCGTCCTCAGGCCTCATCATCGTCAACGCCTGGTACGGGAAGTTTGTCAACGACAAGAGCAGGAAGAACGAGAAGGTGAAGGTGATTGACGTGACCGTGCCCCTGCAGTGCCTGGTGAAGGACTCGAAGCTCATCCTCACAGAGGCCTCCAAGGTGCAGCCCGCGTTCCCACAGGCTCGGTTCCGGGTCCTGGGCCAGCAGCCCAGGGCAGGGCCAGCCACCGCAGCGGAACCCTTCACGTTGCCGGCATTCGCTGTGCGGAGCGCTGCCCAACACCCCTCGTGCCCACCCTGAGCAGTTCGTGCCCCCCCCCAGCATGTGTCCTGAGCACCTGCGTGTGCCAGGTGCACGTCCTGCCCTCGAGCTCCCCGCCGCTTTCTCGCCTGTCAGGAGGCGTGTGTGGTCACCTAGCTCGTCTGAAGCTGCAGCCTGGGGTGTGATGACAAATCCACCCAGGGCCAAGAACTAGATTCCCGAAAAGCCTCTAGTATCTCCATCTTGGTGGGGCTTCTGTGAAGACAGTGGTGTAGCCCTGGCTGGTTTGCTCAGCAGTGAGAGCTCGGCCCACAGACCAGAGTCCTGGGTTCGATTCCAGCCAAGGGCACGTACCTCGGTTGCGGTTCCATCCCCAGCCCTGGTCAGGGTCATGCAGGAGGCAACCAGTCGATGTGTCTCTCTCACGTCGATGTCTCTCTCCCTCCCTTCCACTCTATCTGGGATGGGAAAATATCCTCCTCAGGTGAGGATTGATAAAAAAACAAAAGAAAGGGGTGTCTTTAGGATGGGGGAGGGGCCCATGTCGAGAAGGAGTCTAGGACTTAAATAGGCAACTTTTTCAGATTGTCATTTCTTTCTTCTCAAGTGGCAACATTGGCATCTTCTGAGGGGAAGTCAAGGCCCTTGTAAGGGTGCAGTTGGAAGCAGACAGGCCGTGCGGGGTGTAACCGACTGCCTCGAGTCCTCCCTCCAAGCAGAATCTGTTTGTTCCAGGCCGGGCTGCCCGGGTTCTACGACCCATGTGTGGGTGAAGAGAAGAACCTGAAAGTGCTGTACCAGTTCCGGGGGGTCTTGCACCAGGTGATGGCGCTGGACAGTGAGGCGCTCAGGATACCAAAGCAGTGTGAGTAGCTGCCCTTTGCAGTCACCTGCCCTGTGCGGGGACCGGGAGGGGCTGAGCTACTGACCAGGACCAGGGACATCAGTGCAGCGACAAGCACCTTCCCTCTGGCACCCGCTGGGGGCAGGGGACACGGGCAGCTCGCTCAGGCCTGTGATGTGCTGCCCGTGGGGCTGAGCCTTCCCCGGCGGAAGTGCCGTGAGTCCCTCTGCTTGGACCGCAGCCCAGGTGGGGTACGAAGCAAACCCAGCTGCTCCCTTGAGTTCCAGAGCCAGCCATTGGCCGGCCAGACTCTGGTCTGCTGGTGGCCAAACCCAAGTGGGCAGAGGCCATGGAAACAGTGCCTTTTGATACCCTGAGTCTGTCTTGTCTTTTACAGCCCACAGGATTGACACAGACGGATAAACTGCTCGAGAAACCAGATTAAAAGGCTGCAAAAAATCTTCCTGGGAGTCTACAAATTTGGAAGCAGGGAAAAAACCAAGACATCAAATGTGTTTATTTTATATTATTCCTATAGAAGGTGGTACCGTATCAATTGTGTGAAGGGACAGACACCCCGCTTTCATGGGTGCTGTGGGTAAGACTGAGGCAGCCCTACCTGGACCAGAACCACGGCACAGCCGTTCTGTTTCCCAAGGATCGTGTCCCCAAGGGAAGGGCCCTGGGCCCCCGAGCGCCTCTGGGTCCCTCCCCGTGTCTTCAGCACATGCTGACTGCAGCCGCCCAGAAGCTCACGGTCTGCCCTGAGGCCACTGGAACGTCCTGCCCGCACACGTGGGGTCGTGGACTGTTTTTCCTGAAACCTACACTGAACATGGCAGGGAAAGAACAGAGGTCTCCTGTCAAGTGAGCGTCTGTGTGATCAACTTCCCCAGAACCACCTTTTCCTGCTGAAATACGGAGAGGAGTGTGGGTTTATAAATCTGCTCTGTCTGAGAACAAATGGCTTGGGCAGTTAGTCTCTTTTTTCCCCCAGAACTTCTCGAATCATTCCACTGGCACCTGGCTTGGGACAGGATAGTGTGCCTCTGGTTCCCAGGGCCCATCCTTGTCACGGGTCACTTCCTTCCAGGACACCCCCTCCTTGTGGGGAAAGGGGCGTGTCCCTCTCCCCCGCTCCCTGTGGCTCAGCCTAACCTGCTTGTGCTGCACACCACAGTGCGGTGTTGGAACGGAGAGGGTCAGGCGAGGGGAAGCATAGCCCGGCCTGGAGCCCCTGCCCAATCTGCCCTGGAGCTGAGCCCTGGTGTGTTGCTTGCTCACAGCCAGCAGGTGGCGCTGCTGCGCCCCGCCCGGTCTGGCCCAGCTCCCTCCTCACAGGGGACCTTTCTGGGTGTCTGTTCCCAAGACCTTCCTCCTTCACTGGCCTCTGTGGTGGAAGCTCCCAAACCACCGGGTCTGATACCTGTTACAAGCAGAGGCCCGATGGCGGGGTTCCGGCAGCTACCAGCCGCTGGTACCAGTGGAATCACTAATAACCCCCTTCCTCCAGTTTTTAAAAATAATTCAAGTTGTCCAATCCTGCGATATTTATCTCCATTCTAAAAGTTCTCCGAGTTGCTCTGAATGTGAACTGTGGAGTAAGCGTTGCGTTCCAGGAGTCTGTTCGGACACAGCAGGTGGCTCCCTGGGGCCCCGGTTCTGTCCAGTCTGCCTGAAATGGACTGTACAGGAGGCACTCTGACCACAATAAACCTTCCTGAAAGCTGGGGACAGTGTTCCATGCATCTGTGCGAAAGCCCCGCCCCATCTCGTGCCCTCCACTGCCTCCAGCACAGCGTGAGGCTCAGCGGAAGGCATCATCCATCTCTGCATTGGGCCGTTACCCGAGAGTCTAGAGTTAGGAGATCTCAAACCAAATCTTTTTTTTAACTAAAGTCACCTCTTTTTTGGTGGTCATGCCCTGTTCTTCAACAGGAAGTCAGTCTTAGCATCACCAAAGCAAACAGGAGAGTGAACTGTAAATTAGTACTTGTTTCCATTTTTTATTTTTTTATTTACTGGTTAGACAGAGAGAACATCGATTTGTCGTTCCACGCACTTACACGTTCACTGGTTGCTTTTTGTATGTGCCCCTACCAGGGATCAAACCTGCAACCTTGGTGTGTCAGGAAGATGTTCTAACCAACAACTATCTGGCCAGGGCCAGTGCTTGTTTTTAAATGGAAAAAAACCTGCAGTGTAGGAAGACACCTGACTATGTAGTTCGATCAGACCAGGCTGGGAAGAGGCACTCCTTGGGAGAGAGGCCAGTGTCGGCCAGGGAGCCTGCTATCCAGGCGATGGGGGGCCACTCCTGCTGCCTGAGAGTCAGCTGCCACCCGCTCTGGCCAGCTGCCCCACAAGGAAACATGCTCGCCCCCACTGGGAGTGTCTGCCACTGGCTCAGCCGTGGTTCCAAGGACACTGGCCTAGCTTGTGCTGAGTGGACAGCTGGGACTGTCACCTCCTGGATGAGCAAGTTTCTCAGTTTCTCAGGTTCATGGCCCACTGGCTCAGAGCCTCACGCCACCAGATTCACCTGAGGCTGCACTGGACTCCTCACCTGGCTGCCTCTCGCCGTCAGCAGCAGGACTGAAGGGTTCACAGCCAGAGCCCAACACTGCGGCCCCACCTCCCGGGGGCTCAGCTCTGCTGCTCCGGCTGTGGCCCTGCCTGGGGGCCCTGCCCCTCTCTGTGGGCTCGCAGGCTGCTGCAGACCCTCCGTATCACCAGTCTCTGGGCCTTCAAGCGCTTCCGGAGCTTTTCATTTTCCTTCAGGGTCACAAAGAGTTTTTTTTTTAGGGTATCTAAGTCCAAAAGGGCATAGCTGTGATCAGATGGCTGTGGGGGGCTGGTTGGCTGACCAGGGGCCTCGGCTGCTTCCGGTCTATGTGGCAGGACCTGAGGACAGGTGAGTGGAAGGTAAGCAACACCCAGAGGCCAAAGCCAGGGACCAGCGGCAGAACGGTTCTCCGACAGGAAGGATGGGTGGAAGGCCCTAGGGTCCCTCCCGCAGTTCTGCCGTCCAAGTCTGCCCAGATCCTGGCTCCTAGTTCCCACTGGGAAGGCCTGAAATCAGGGCCACACCCCTGGTGCTCGTGGTCTGGGCACCAAATCTGTTTGTCTTTAGCCAATCTCCTCCGCTGAGACCAACCCGCCATGTGCTCCTTGGTGCCCTACCTGTCCTTCAGGGCTCCCAGTGCTGGGTGGCGGCTGCAGCGCCTCAAGGGCAGTGTCGGTCTTTCTCCCCGGGCTGTGCTCCCTGGCTTCTGGGAGGACCTGGAAACAGTGCATGGCTGCAGCGCAGACTGGCCCCCAGGGCAGGCTGCCCACCCCCCCAGGCTGGCCCCCAGGACAGACTGACCTTTTCCTTTTCCGAGTCAGCATTTCCACTCTTGCTGGCTGTGTCTGTGTCCTCTCTCACCAGCTGCAAGAGACATGGAGCTGCTGGGGACAGCGGCCCAATGTTCGGCCCAGTTGGGGTGCAAGTAAGACCTGTACCCTGAGAACCTCACACCAGGCACCAAACCTCATGCTTATCCCCATTCTCAGGCCCATGTTTATCCAATTAAATTGGGCCTTGAAACCCCACCTAGCTTGACCTCCACCCACTAGTATCTTTTTCCAAAGATGTTCCCAGATCTTGGGCCAGAGGCCCGGTCACCCCAAGAACACACACTACCACAAATGCATACAAGTGATCAAACTATTGCCCTGGCCAGTTTGGCTCAACGGTTAGAGCAATGGCCCACAGACCAGAGAGAAGTGGGTTTGATTCTGGTCAAGGGCACATACCTCTGTTGCGGTTCCATCCCCAGCCCTGGTCAGAGTTGTGTGGGAGGCAACCAATCGGTGTGTCTCTCTCACATCAATGTCTCTCCCTCTACCCCTCCCGCTCTATCTGAAAATCAATGGAAAAGTATCCTTGGGTGAGGACTTTTTTTTCTAAAGAAAAGTGATCAAACTCCTTAAAAATATAAAAATAAAAAAGTGATCAAACTATTAAACACACTGAGGGGTTGGGGGCGGAGTCACCAACTGTGGGCGCACAGTTTCAGTTAAGCCGCGCAGTGGCCTTCGAGCCCTGCTGGACCTCGTGCCCACAGTTCACAGCACTGACTGTACGCCTACAAGTTTGAGGGTAGCGCTCTAGGTGTGTTCGTCCCACAACTGAATTTTACATATATAAAATAAAAGGCCTTCCAGATTACAAAAGCAGCCACACGAATGTACTGAGCACCTACTTTGTGCCTGCCAACGTCCTGGGTGTTGGGTCCCTGCCGTGGAGGAGCTCACACGGCCGCAGAGAAGACAGGCACTATAGAAGAGTGGCAGGTGCTAGAAAGCCAGGAAGCAGGAGAGGAAGGGGTGGCCCAGGGGGGCGGTGGAGGCTGACAGGAGGCCGTCCTGCAGACCCATGAAATGTGGACTTGCAAGAGAGGAGGTGGCCACCCATGTGCAGAATTCTGGGAGATCATCAGGCAAAAAAGGAAGTTGGGGGGCAGGTGCCGGGCAGGTGTGCTCACAGCTGGCGCCCGGCCTCCCTCACAGCCGTGACTCATGGTTCCGCTGGCTTCCTTGTCTCATTCCCAACAAAACCAGACACACAGGTGCCCGTCTGCCTTGTTGGTCCCACCATTACTTTACCTTCCACGTCCAAGTAGAGCCCCGCTGGAGGGCCACACTCTGGGACTCTGGACATCTCTAGGACTGATGAATTTCAATAGGATGCCCTCATGGCTTCAAGCGGTCCATGAGCATTCTCCTGAGCCAACCTGCACACCGCACCCCACTAACACACGTCCACTCCATGTCCCATTGGGACATCAAACTCCATGTGCACAGGGCCTAATGCCTCGGAATCCGGGAACCGCATTCCCCAGGGGCTCATCGAGTTCTCTCTCCCCCCGGCCACCTCCCTCTCAGCCCACCGGACATGCAAAGTCCATCCACTGGGTCCTCTCATCACTGACCCACCTTCAGCTCAGGCCACATGACCGTACTCACATGGCCTCTCAACCAGCTGCCAGCCAAAGACAGCGTTCCAAGGCCACGTCCCTCCCCACTGACCTCACCCGAAACCAGCAGCCTGTCCAAGCCTGTCACCATCTGCAACCCTCCAACCAGCTGAGCCCCTGCTGTCCCGAGTCGGCCCAATCCCCTTCCATCGGCAAGCCTGCCGCCACGCGGTCCCCGCGCCCTCCAGCGCTCCGCCCCCGGCATCGCCCTTCCGCCGGACAGAGCGCGGACAGCACATGCGCGTTGCAGAACGGCGGTGACCCCGCCTCTGGCTCCTTGACCACCGGCGGTTCGGTCCCTGACCCTGGTCGGGGTGGGGCGGGAGGCAACCCATGGATGCGCCTCTCCCACATTGATGTTTCTCTCTCCCTCCTCCTCCAGCTGAAGGTGAAATGGACAGGTAGCCTCAGGTGAGGGTTCACGCACGCGCACACACACACACATACACACACAGGTATCAAAGTGGCTTTCAGCCGGGGATCCCCTAAAACGAAGGTCATGCTGGGCCCAACCCGGAGGCCGCGGGGCTGGAGGCCGGAGGCGGGCTCCGCGGGTCCGCGCTCACCTGGCCCGCGTCCCGGAAGGCGAACACCGTGGGCACCGCGTTGTGCTTCAGGTTCTTGCGGTTGCCGAAGGCGCTGAAGCACTCGGGGCGGAAGTGCTCGGAGCAGATGACGGTGTGCTGCTTGGGCTCGAAGTGGCCCCGGCCGATGTTCAGCACCCACTTCTTCAGCAGCTCGGGGCGGCTGAACGGGAACCTGGGCAGCAGAGACGGCGGAGGGGCGAGGCTGAAGTCCCCGAGGTCCACACCAGTGCACCCGACACCCTCGCTGTTAGGCCGAACCCAGCTTCAGGAAGCTTCGGCCCTGGCTGCCTAGGGCATCCTTAGGAAACGAGACCACCGACGCGGCCAAAGAGCTGTTTCTGAAGCTTCGTGCGCCAGGCGAGCCTTCACTGGCCCCGGGGGCACCGCGAGCGGCCTGCCCCGCCCCCCGGAGCCCAGGTGCCGGAAGGGTAGGCTGACCCGGCTGATGGCACTAGCGTAGGAATGAAGGGTGAGGCGTGGCCAGAGAGGCCACCTGGGAGGGGTCCTGGGAGGGGTCCTTAGAGCAGAGGTTGCTGGGAGCAGGAGCTGCAGCACGTGGGTATCAGAAGGGAAAGCGAGTGACTGGCAATTGCCTGATGGGTTGGAGCAGCGATCAGCCAGGTTTGGCAGAGACAGAGCAAGAGCAGGGGTAGGCAGCGAAGGACATGGGTCTCGGGCAGATAGGGTGTCCCTGGAGGCTCGGGGCAGAGGGTGATGACTGAGCCCACCCCAGCTGGGTACAAGGTGGCTGGAGTGGCAGCAGGAGGACGTAAGGAGTGGGCAGATCTGGGATGTATTTCGAAAACCATGCAATAAGGTTTGCCGTGAGCCATGAAATAAGAGAAGGAAGAAATGTCACATACTAAGATGAACGGAGGCAGTAGGAGGGGCCGGTCTGAGACCTGGGAACTTTGGTTTTAAGTGTTAGATGTTAAAATTGAAGTGCCTTTTAGATGTCCACATACTGAAGTGGACGGCAGGTGGACAGATGTCTGGACATGCAATGTGGAGGTGGAGCTTCCCCGCATGAAGGGCGGTAAAGACCTGGGTGAGATCCGTGCCCTAGGAGCAAGTGTGGGCCGGGATGACGCAGGGCCATGGCCTTCGCCCCCAAGTACTCCAAGGCCTAGTGCTGAAAATGAGGAGGGTCCAGCAAAGGAGACTGAGTAGGGACACTGTGGCCAAGGAAGAGGCTGAGAGCTGTCCTAGAAGCCAAGTGAGTGTCTCAAGGGATCAATGTTCGGTTGTGTCAAATGCTGCCGAGAGGTCAACTCAGACGACAATGGGACCACTGCATTTGGCATCATAAGGGCTACTGAGCACTTGAAAGAGCCCTTTTGTGGAAGCGGTGGGGGCAAGAGTCTGATTGGAATGGGTTTGAGAGTGAACCAAAGGCAACTCCACCCCCCAGGTATATACCTGACTGTAACATACAGACATGCACCAGAAGACTTGTCCCAGCCAAAAGGTTGAACCATGTGTTTGAGATGGCAGAAACGCAGAGGCACCCGATGCCCTCCACTAGAACAACGAATTAATTCTGCTTTACGCATTCAATGGAATACTATGCAGCAATGAAAAGCAATGAATTACCACTGAGCACATGACTCATAGCTGTGGACAAAAACAAGAGGGTTTTATGGAAAGGTGATCTGGTCATAAATTCCTAAGTAGGCAGGTCATGCTGGGTAGTCACGCCCCAGGCCTATAACTTCTTTAGTAAAAGGTGTATCTTTGCCTTGTCCCTTGTGTTTATGCATCCAGGTTAACACACCTTTGAAGTGAGCGTACCCACCTTGTCACCTGTCCTGTAATCTGAGCCCCAGATTGCTTTCTACAGCCCTCTTGTCATCTTTACACTCCCTGCTTAATTTTTTTTTTTTTTATCCTCACCCGAGGACATTTTTCCATTTTTGTTCAGATAGAGTGGGAGGGAGAGAGAGAGGAAGAGAGAGAGAAACATCGATGCAAAAGGGACACATCGAGTGGCTGCCACCCGCACGACCAACCAGGGCCAAACTGCAACTGAGGTACATGCCCTTAGCGGGAACCGAACCCGGGTTTCTCCAGACTGCAGGCGGACGCTCCAACCGCTAAGCCAAACCGGTCAGGGCTCCTTGCTTAATTTTAAATGCATAAAAGAAACCTAGAAACCTACAGAATTCTCTATAGGTTTGGATGTTTCTTCCACAACAAACATAATGGTGAGAAAAAGGGGAAACACACACACGCACACAGAGCCCCGGCCAGTGTGGCCCAGTTGGCTGAGCATCACCCAATGCACCTAGAGGTCACCAGTTTTTGATTCCTGGTCAGGGCACATGCCCGGATTGTAGGCTCAAAGCCCAGCAGGGGGTCAAGCAGAAGGCAACTGGTAGATGTTTTTCTCTCCCTCACCCTCTCTAAAGTCAATAAAAACATATTTTTTAAAAAATAACAGAAAAAAGTACATTACGTGTATTCATTCCTGTCAAGCTCAAACAGACCAACAGCTCCTGAGGAAAGGCAGTATACTCATGGGTTACCCTGGGGGATGTGGGAGGATGAGGGACAGGGAGTGCTGCTGGGAGTCTCCTGGGGGCTGGTGATGTGTTAATGCATGGCGGTCACCCAGGGTGTCCACTTGGTTAAGTTGGTTGGGCTATGTACTTGTAATTTTTGTTTATGTATGTTATAGTTAAAGAAAATCACTTACTTTGAAAAAGAAAATGATAACAGAAGTGGAGACAATGAGTGCAGCAATCCTTTGGAACCCAAAGGGGACGGAAATGGGCAGAGGCTGGAGCCCTGAAGAAAGTGCCCAGCATTCAGTGGGCACCCGAGGATGGGCTGTCATGGCAGGGACCTATCTGTTCATGGGTCAGGCCCTGCCAACCTCCCCTGACTGTGGCCAAGTCAGCGTCCTGACCCACTAGCCCAGCACCCTGGCCGTTCTCGTTCTTCCACTCCAGGCTTCTTCCTTCCTGACATGAGGCCTGCAGAGGACTCAGCACCGCAGACCTCAGGTGGCACCAGCCTCATTCATCCAGCAGATACACTCAGCAAACACTGAGCACCTCCTACGTTCAGGGCTGTGGCTGTAAATGAGATCGAGTCCCTGGGACATGTAGGGGATGCCACCCAAAGAACTGCAGAGGACGCCAGGTGCGGCCGTGGCACTGTTACTGGAAAGGGGGCCTGGCCCTTGGAGGGTCCGCCTGGGGCCAGCAGGCAGTGTGTGGGTTCTTGACTTCGTGTAGGAAAAATTTCACAACACGAGTCCAGGTGAGTTTTAGGGGACATTTATTAATGCTGGGGACAGTGAAACAAGGGCTGGGGAAATGAGCCTTGGCTGGTCTGCTCTGGCTCACTGAGAAGTCAGAGAAAAGGGGGCCTTGGGGACAGGTTCAGGGGTTTGCCCAGGATGAATGCCACTGCCCACTGCCACCCTGGTTGCAAGCCTCCCGGGATCCCTTAGACTCTAAGGCTTAGCGTTTAGGAGATGCGTGCCTGCGGGGAGAGGAGAGGGGGAGGGGAAGGCGCAGGGATGCTCAGGGAATGCAGTGCGCATGCTGGGACCTACGTTTTGAGGGGTTGTTAAAAGCTGGGCGTTTAGGAGAGGTCTTAGGGGAGGACCTCAATAGAATATGCGTCAGCTTTAGGTTGATGGAGCAAAATGGGATTCCCTTAAGTTCATCCGTCCTTGGGTGTGGTTGGCCAATGGCCCTAACTGGATTTCTGCTACCCGTCTACCTAAGTAGGGTGACTGAAGCTATTTACCCTGTGGCTGGGGAAGAGAAGTGCAAACACTTCCTCTCGTGTCCTTGGTGGAGGGAGAGCGGACGCACCGGATGGCTGCAGACTGCTGATTAACTGTCTCCTTTCCCTGTCCGGCCCGGCCCAGCTCACCGGCCTGGCAGAGAGCCCGCCCGGTCCCGACCTGCTGGCGGCGGCGGTGCGCCCCGGGCAGGTTGCGCAGCCTCTGCACCAGTTCCCCGCCCCGGCGGCGAGGCGGCGCGCCCCCCGGCCTCTCGCCCCCCGGCCTCCGCGGCAGCCGCGCAGCGACCCCGGCGTCCCAGGCCCCCCGGCGCGCCAGGCCCGGGCTCCCGAGGCCGGCCGGGCAGCCAGGGCCCGCACCCCCCGACGCCCCCACCCCTCACCGGTGGAAGGTGAGCTGCTTCCTGCGGTTGCTGTAGCGGTTGCAGCACTGCCGGGCCGCGCAGGACTTCGGCATCTCCAGACCCCAGGCCCGGCCGCCCCTAACAAAGATGGCCGCCGCGGGGCCTGCGGGAGCAGCGGGGGCGGGGCGGGGGCGGGGCTTGTAGGGCGCGGCGGGAGGGGAGGGGCCGGCGGGGGCGGGGCCGCCGGGACGTCTGGCCGCCCTGACTCTGCTGCTTGGCCAGCTCCCTGCGCGGTGCCGGCGACCGGTCCCGGGGTTTTACCCCGGTTCGCCGAAGCCTGTCGCCCTCACCTCGTTTTGGGCCCCCCCCCAAACTTACACCCACCAACAGCATTGGGCAACTGGAAACAGAGAAAGGCTCAATGCCCAACTTGGCCATTATTTTCAGAACTTTAGGAGGTGCTAAGACGGAGATTTTGGCTGCTCCAACGTCACTAGAAGTACTGCTTGATCCCAGCTCAGAGCTAGGCAGAGGCAGCTGACACACCGGGCTCAGGCACTGGGACCCCCTGGTGGAAAGGGGCCGAATGCGCACCCCCAGGAGAGCCCAACTCTGCTTAGGGAACCTCACAGGCTGCTGCTTCCACAAAGCAGGTTAACCACCCACTGGGGTTTAAGTTCAATTTGATGAAATTGGGAGAGCTATTCATGTCTTTTCATACTATGATTTCTGGAGAATTTACCAGAAAAGTAGATTAAGGGCTGTGGGCATTCCTCGTCCTGCTAAACCAAACTCTGACTTGAACTTCCACGTCTTGTAATCATGGTTTGGAGGAGGTGATGAAGGCAGATGAAACAATTGTCCAGCACAGAACACAAACACCTGAAGCCTGACATGAACCTCAAAGTAGCAATATCTTTATTTACAAAATATACAGTTTCACAGAAACAGCTTCGCTTTTTACACATAAACTTTACAATTACACAGAACTATGTAAACGATGTTAAGTGTCTGGCCTGGCCAAAGCCAATGGGAGGCGCCTGCTTTGGGGGGGTGACATCTTTCCCTCCCCTCACTTCATCAGCCACCAACCAGGAGCCCCTAGTTGGGCCACACCTAATTTGCATAAAGCTGATTGCAGCTGCCAGCTCCATCAACACAAAACAAGGTGTCTTGACTTCTTAGACACCACCCACAGGGTTCCACCTGTTTAAAAAACAAAGGAAATGAAGAAACAGAAATTGAGATGAATATCAAAAGCCTTCCAGGAATCTCCAGGCCTCGAACCTTCTAAGGGCAGACTGCAATAGCCGACATTGGCCGTTCCACTGTCAAATTACATGTACTCTCACATGCACCTTTAAAACTTTGTAGGGTTATTTTAAAAAGAAAAGAAAAACACTTTGGAACTTTGGCTATTCTCATGGTGAAGACACTGGACAAGCAATGTCCTGGGGCGGATCTTTGGCAAAGTCCTCTCCCAACTTCTCCTGCATATTTGCCCTAATCAGAGCCAGAGACAGCTGCCTGGGGAGAAGTTTGTTTCTGAACCAGCTTCTTACTATTTCTTTTTACAACACAACTTCCCCCTTGGGGATCTTGACAATAAACTGGGTTTCAGTATTTCTGTTAATAAAAGCAACAGAATTAAAGCCAAAAAAAAAAGGCAGTTGGCTTGTCAAGCATGAATGATACTAGGACAAAATATGGGCTCTGATTAGCCAGTTACAGCTCAAACCCTTGGTGCTTCAGTGAGAGAATGTGGAGGGCGTCCACCTGGTGGCCCTGCACAAGGATGCCACCCGGAGAAGCCCCCGGCAGGGAGACTGGGGTCCATCCTGCTGTAAACAAGTATGACCAACTTGGGCATTCTTCCCTTTTCATGCTTTTACAAGAAACAATGTTTATAAAAACACACCCATCGATTTACAAAAAAAAAAGAAAACAAGTATTCGAACTGCTAAAAAGCAATGTCAATTTGGGACAAAGCTGAAGCCCTGGCCCTCAGAGCCCCAGAACCACCAGTGTCCTGGGGCTCACTAACCTGGAGAGAGCCCTGCAGGCTTTCGGGGGCGAACTCCCCGGCTTCTGCAGTCAGACCTGCAAGGTGCCCCAGTCCAGATCTGAGGAGCTCTACAGTTCAATGGCATGTACCTGGACGCCAATGTTACCAAAGCACTCACTCACCAACTCAAACCAAAAAGGCTTCAAGTCCTAACCTTGGCCTGTGGAACCAGCAGGCCAACCTGTATGAGGGGACACTAAGGATCACCCGTGGGGAGGCCTTCCTCCCGATTTCCCTTTGTCAAGGAAGGCCATTCCCCAGGGACCGCCTAACCTTTACGCTGCTACTGGAACAATGTGAAGGGAAGAGACGAGGAGGGAACCAAAGTGCTCCCTCGCTTGGAAACACCTGGCCTGGGTACCCACAGGCCTCCATGTGTCAACCGGAGAGACACGGCACCCAGGCAAAAATCTGCCAATACTTTTGGCTATATCGTGCAAAAAGACAGGGTTTTTACATCGTGCAAAACAGGAAATTGAGTTATGAACACGGGCCACCTCAATCTCCCAACCAATCCTCTTTCTACAAAGAAGTGGCCACACACTATCCCTTTTAACGAACAGAAGGACAATGAGACACCACCACTCGCCCAAGGCCCCAGCTCTTCTCTGAGTGAGACCAGAGGAGTCCAGCAGGCAGCCTCCAGGACAGAGGCAGCAGAGGCCGGCAGAGGGTGGACCACCAAGGGAGGGGCAGCGTTGATGGTTGCTATACAGACACTTATGGTAAAAGACACACTCGAGAAAAAGTCTGCACGTATGGCTGTTCGTTAACAGGCCAGGGAAACCTTTGTCCCCAACACAGAGGAAGCAGAGTAACATGTAGCACTTGTTCCAATCGGCGGGAGTTTGTTAACGGTATCAAGAATTCACAACTGCCACGGACCCTCATTTTCCGCTGAACCAAACCCATGCACTGGGGTGTTTAGTCCACCTCCACTGCCGAGAACACAGCTCCAGCAGCAGCTTTGGCCCACGAGGACTTTATTCAGTCACTGGCTATGTACAGTTTATACCATGGTCAGCCTGTTCTTTTACTTAGGCACCTGAATGGCAGGAGTCTGCCTGCACCAGAGCTGAGAGTTCTGTGCTCAACTAAGAAAAGGGCCAAAAAGCCCATCGTCCCATCCCTTCCAATTCTTCACCCACAGTCTCCAGGATCGCCAGCAGTCAGTCCAGAAACAGCTTCCGGGAGCCCATTCGAGAACGGTTGGACCGGCGGATGTCGAACTTGGAGTCCCGGCACTTTTGGCAGACAAACACTTCCGGAACATTGGATTTCCGGATTTTGGCACAGGACAGGTGAATCCAAGTATGGCACTCATTACACTCTATCATCGGGCGGCCAGCAAATGGCTTCATGCAGAAGCAGGTGACGAGGTCCCACGAGTCGTCGTCTGAAAGGAGAGAAACACGTAAGAAGAAGGAAGAAAACATCTCCCCAACCCTCTCCATCAGAAAACCTCTCTCCAATGGGACAAACAACCAAACCAGATTTCAACTTTCACTTAGGGGTGCTACCTCCCTCCCTGAAAACAGTCAGCACACCCCTCCTGCTTGTCCTGCCCAAGGATAACCGCAGCATGTGTACTTATTACACGAGTTTTACATTTCGAGGTCTGTCTTGGGATCTCAGCTGTCTGCAGCTGCCATCACGCCCTTCCCTAAACATCTGTGTCCACCTTCTTGCACCTCTCTCCCTGGAGACAGTGGGCACACTGAGGAAGGGCCTGCGGAGACTCCTGCTTACGATCCCCCTTCTGACAACCAGCCAGCGGCATGGCCACCCTCCCGGGCTCACGCACCTGAATCCACCATTATGTCCTCATCGTTGCCAGTGCTGTCCTCGTCGCGGAACACCACCTGCTTTCCCTGCCGGACGATAGTCCGTTTGCCTTCAGTTTTTATTTCTTTGACCTGGTCAGGTGACACCGTGGCACAAGATCCGCTGGAAGGAGTATCGGAGTCCCAGCCCGAGCAGGGATCGCCAGGGGCCTGGGGCATATCCTGCAGGGTGGGACTCGTGGGGGTCTCCACGTATGGATCAGAGGCTTCCAGCTTCAGCAGGCTGCCCATGTACCCCTCCTTCACGGGCACATCACTGTCCCTTCGCTTCCTCTTCTTCTTCTTCTTCAGCTTGTCGGTCTTCTTTCTGTCCAGCAGGAAGTTACTGGGCTTGGCTCGCTGCAAGAGAGTGGGCTGCAGGTGGCCAAAGCAGCGGTCAGAGACCGGCAAGGGCACCGCGGACGAGATGTCGGTGAAACCAGCGTCCCAGCCATCGCTGTCAATGGTACCTGCGGTGCTGTTGGCAGGGCTAGGGCTGCTCCTCAAAGGGAGTTCCTGAAAGGACAGAGGCAAAGGTGGCGGGTTCCGATTATTTCGACCAGTCCCCAGCAGCTGGCTGGCCCTGAGCAGGGCTTCCCCGGGCACCTGGCCAGGTCAGGCCCGCAGACGTGCGCTCTCACAACCTTAGGCTCCCAGCTCTCGTAACAGTGGCATCTGTACTATAGTTTGACCTTCCAGATAGAATATGAACCCACGAGGAGACCTCCTGCCCTGGCCGAACTCTCCAGAACCTGGCTGATGCTCAATCTCCGTTAAAGGAGTGGAAACCTGCTCTCCAACCCACTTATCCTTCCCTGACCAACATTCCCTCAGTTTATCCTCCCCTGGGATGTTTTCTTAATTAAGTGAATTAAAGTTAGTTTTGAGAATTTCCCAATATTGTTTTTAAATAAACTGGAGATATCCCAAAATATTGCAAAAATCAAAACAGGTAATTACTGCCCAAAGCAGTGTATGAGCTACGTGTATGGTTCCTTCCTTCACACCATTCAAGCGTTTTATCTGCAAAGGATAAACCAATGCTGGGACCTGGCCCCCTAGTATTACCGAGGTCCCTTCTTTTTAGCCTCAGTCAGTATAAACAGGCCCCTGAAGTTTGAGGACCATGGCAGTGCTGGCCCGGAGTTCTGCCCATTTCTCAGCAAGGGAAAAAAAAACCCTGAAATTACATGGGATTCTGGCCGAAGTCCCTGCAGATCATATGTGTGGTGTGCACAGCAACCAGGCTACTCGCCAGGCAGGTGGCCATCTGGGTGAACCCAGGCTCCACCACTCAGACCCAGAGCAAGGAGTTCCCTATCTGTGCCCATGTCCTCAGCTTTAAAATGGGGACAAATAATATCATCTACCTCCTATAATTATAAGGGCCAAAAATAGGGCCTGGCCATAGTCAGCACTCAATAATTACTGGCCATCAAGAGCAGGCAGTAAATAGTACAGAATAGTCAATAAATAGGTATGGTGTCAAGTGGGTACTGGAAATATCAGGAGAACACTTTGTAAAGTATATGATTGTCTAACCACTATGCGGTACTCCTGAAACTAATACAAAATCATACTGAATGTAAACTATCATTGAAAAATTAAATTTAAAGAAAAAGAACAGGCAGATAGCTAATAGTTATTTTCAAGCAAACTTTGCAAGTTTACTAAATCATTTCTAAACAAGTCTGCATTTTATTTTCTATCAGCTTGAGAAACCACTCCTCACGCTGGTCTGTTTCAAAGAAAGTGTTTTGCCCAGCTCTTTTCTGAAGTCCTCCTGCCAGGCCAACCCCTCACTGGACGCTCTGGTTTCACTGTCAGCAAGAAAGGTCTCTAAAGTGCTAAAGATTACCTCCTTCGGATAAGGGATGTAGCCAGCATAGGCCAAGACAAAGGTGCAGAATTTGTTGAAATCCTCCACGGTCCTACGCCTCTTGTAACCGGGGGAGTACTCCTGTTAGCAAACGAGAAACCGAGAAACGGGCTGTGTTTGAATGTAGACACTTGTAGGTGGAATCACAAACAAAACCAAACAAGCTGGAGCTTTTATTATTGCCAGCCACTCAAAAACACACTGAGATTTACACACACTCAGAAACAAGATAAGGTACGTTCAGGTCAAGGAATAACACTGTTTTCAGAAGGTTGTGAAAGTGGGGGTGTTATGCCAAGAATACTGGGAACTGGTTAGGAGAGAAAAGCTTGTCCCAAAGCCTATTTCTTAGCACCCGTGGTGTTATCTACTAGCTTCTACAGGCCTATCAGCTCCAATAACTACTTTTTTGCTACAGATTTTCCATTTTGCAAATAAACTGCTGCTGCAGCTGTAACTGAAGCATTTAATGATTTCAAAAGTCAACCCCTTCTTATCCTTCCCAGCCCACTGAAGCCTGACCCCTCCCCAGCCAGGGCTGCATGAGGACTACCTCCTCCACTGGGTCTCCCCTGCATGGGCACTTCCTGCCGGTCGCTCTACTGCTCCAACACCCAGGGCCAGGCACCCAAATGTTTCTCCACTCAGAAAAAAACAAGAAAACATGCCTGCTAGTCTAGTCGTATTTGCACGTTGAAGATGAAATGCTAGATGTTGTGGCATTCACACTAGAAATGCTCTCAACAAGGATGAACTTTCTCCTGACGAGAAGAGCAGCTCAAGGAGAAAGAGCCTTTACTTGCTCTTTCTGTACTTTATTTCGGATTATTCGACTAGCATATCTACCAAGGTTTTCTCTAAGTATTTTATCACCCACTCCAATGCCATCCTTACAAGATAACCTGACCTTTACAGAGCTACCGGCCTGTGCCCTCCTAGGGTGAAAGTGAGGCAGAAAATGGGGGGTGGGGAGGTGGGCTCAGCAGTCCAGCCCTCCCCGCAGGACAGGGCCCAGAAAGCGGAGCGGCACAAGCGTGCTGCCCGTAGGTTTTTTCCAAGGGAGCCACTTATTTTCTCAACTTGGTTCCAGCAAACCACCTTCTCCCCTCACCCATCGGCCGCAGGACCCAGAGGCGTGCGCAGGTTAGCAGAGCACCAGGCTCAGCGCGGGACCCAGCGCAGGAAGCGCAGGAGATCCTGCCTCCACCCCCAGGAGCCAGACCGCCCTCCCTCTGGCCGGGGTGGGAGGGCCGAAGCCCTCGGCCCTCAAACTCTCGAAAAGAACTTTTATTTCGGCGGGGAACGTACAGAAGTGGGTCAGGAGCCGGGATGCCGAGTGGCAGGCGGCGGCGCCCCAGGGCGCGGGGTGGGGGTGGGGGGGCTGCGCAGCCCCCACCCCGCCCGCCGCGCCTTCGCCTTTAGGAAAAGCAGATGGCGGTGCGGCCCCCTCCCGCCCGCCCACGGAAGCCGCCCCCCGCCGACACTCGGCCCCGGAAGGTGCGGGGCCCATCCCGCGGGGGAGGGGGCTCGAGAAGCCGGCAGGCTCGGGGTCCCAGGATGGCAGGGCCCGCGAACCCCCGAGGCATCAGAGCGGCGGGGGAGGGTACTCAGCGCCACCTCCCGCGGCCCGACCCGCACCCCAGACCCTGCGGGCCTCGGGAAGGGAGCGAGGACCGCAGCAGGGGCGCCAACCGGGAGAACCGAGGGCCGATCCCCGGAAGGAGGAGTGGGAGGCGGGGCGAGCAGAGCCGCGGGCGGGGGGCGGGGGCCCCGGAGGGGAATGCGAGCGAGCGAGCGCGCAGGGGGGGTGGGGAGGGGTCCGGCCCTTGCAGGGGTGGGAACCCCCAAAGACAAGGCTCCCCCAAGCCAGAGAGGGCGGAGGCCGCGCGGGAGTCAGGGGGCGGGGCGCGGGCCACTGGGCCCGGGGGAATTAGGGGAGCAGGCGGGGGCGCGCAAAGCCGAGACGCCGTCCGCGGGGGGCCACGAGCCCCTCCGGGAGGGGAGTGAGGGGGTTCCTCCGAGAAGCAAGAGTGCGGGGCGGCGGCGCTCCGACCGAGTCCCCGGGGGCGGGGAAGGGGTAAGCCAGGCAGGCGGGGCGGGGCCCGGAGCGCAGACAGGTCCCGAGGCTACCGAGGCCCGGGAAGGGTGGGCGCTTACGCCCGCCGGAGGGGCGGCGAGGCGGGGGCCGGCGGGGAGCGCCGGGAGCGGGCCCCCGCGGGGGGGCGGGGTTGGGCGCCGGGGGGCGACGACGAAAAGCTGGGGGAGGAGGGCGGCGCTCGGGTGGCTGGGGTCTGGCTCCGAGGAACGAAGGACCGGGGTGGGGGTGGTCGGGGCGATCTGGGCGCAGCTCTTACCTCCGGGTGGAAGGCGGCGGCGCAGGAGTCGGAATCCATGTTCTGGGTGGGGGGCGGCGGCTGCGGGAGTGCAGGGGCCGGGATGCGGGCACCGGACCGCGGGGCCGCTCGGGGATGGGGCTCCGGCGGCCGCGTAGGACCGGGGCGGACCGGGGAGGGGGCTCCGCGGCTGGAGGCGATGGGGGGGCTCGGCGTGTCGCGTCCCGGACTCTGTGCTACCGGACCAGCGGCTCCACGGCTGAGCAGAGTTAGCGCGGCAGCTCCCGCGACCGGCGCGGCGGGAGAGGCGGGAGAGTCGCTGCGGGGGGCGGCGGCGGCGAGCGGGAACCCGACCGGCTCCCCGACCTGACGCCCAGTTCGGCTCGTGTCTCAGGAGGGAGGGCGGGAGATCCGCGAGGCCTGTCGGGAAATGTAGTCTGAGGAGGACGGAAAGCCGATAGAGAGGGGGCGTGGCGCGAGGGCGGGCGCTGGGCATTGTGGGAGTCGTAGTCCTAGGCTCTTCCGCTTCGGCACACAAAGGCTGCCTCGAGGACTCCAAACCCCATAGAGCCCCGCGGCGGCTGCGGAGGCGGTGTCTCCGGGACCTGAGTCCGCCGGAGCGGGGGCTGTGCGGGGGCTCGCGCCGGCTGGGTAGTGGGGGAGGGGCGGCGCGGGCGGTAGCGCCTCTGTCTCCGCGGGGCGGGGGCCGGGTCGCTCTGGCGGGCGGGTGGGGGCGGGGCCGACGGCCTTGGTCGCTGAGCGCGGAGGCGGCCCCCACGCTCCTCCTCGTTTGGGATTAGGGGTGCGAGCCCCTTTGTGGGGCCGGGGTCCCCGCGGCCCGGGCGAGAGTAGGGGTGGCTGTGCTGACGTTGGGCCACCCCCGGCTTGGCTCCCCGCGTGGCCGGCCGGGGAATCCAACTTGCCTTCGCGACTGTGGGTTTTCTGGCCGGGTCCTCCGGCGGCGGGGACCCGGGACCACGGGACCCGGACTCTCCCGGTGCCTGTAGGGTCCGCTGTGCGGTGTCGGGTTACCGCATCGGAACATCTCTCCTGGTGTCATCAATGTTTTAGGAGATGTTTGCTTCGAGTCGCTTTTCCTGCCCTCCCCGCCTAACCTTGGGACCGCCCCTGTTTTCTCGCTTGAACGTAGTTTCCTGCGTGGGTCCCTCACGGGGTGGGCACGGCGAGGCGAGGCGATGGGGACGTTTGGAATTGTCACGGACTCTGTGCTGATGTTTAATTGAGGAGTTTGCAGTGTAACTGCTGGCGCAGCGTCTTTTACAACTTTATGTTGGGGGCTGATTGACTCTGAACGCCTAGTTGAAAATTAACTGCTCTGATCAAATTACCAGGAGGCCTGACATTCTTTAACATGTTTTTAAAGAAAACTCTGTGCAGATGACTCAATAGCAAATTCTGTAGCTTCGAAGACAGAAACTGTTAAAGAGGAGTAACGTCAAAATTTTAATTTAAACCAGGAAACGGACTCTTCCATATACTAAATCAAAGTGATGGTTGGAAAAAACCCTAAAAGATGGGATTATTTCTCAGGGATTGAATGCTACATTGGTTGGCTACTGCTGTTTAGGTGGTTAAGAGAATTCTGATAGATACATTTAGTAGTTAAGGGACTAGATTTATCTTAGAAATGCTTTTGTGAGCCTCAGTTTCCTGAGCTATAAAAATTTTACCTAGTACTGGCCTCGATAAATGGTAGTTTACTATTGTTTTGTTGTTGTTGTTGTTTTATTATTTCAGCAATAGCTTAGCAGACAGGAGGGCTCCCCAAAGGTGGTAACAAACAAAGGGGCTTTACAAAGCTAGTAAGATAAAAATGACATTGGACTTGGTCTGTGAAAACATCGTTGACCACTTCTTACAGAGTCGTCACATTCCGGTGATTTGGCCAGATTTGACCACTGTGGCCAGAGCTGATGTCCTGAGCCCAGCCAGTGTTGCCCAAGGTCAGATTTACCAGGAGCAACTTGGTTTGCCTGAATGAGAAAGAGCCAAGAAGGATATTATCCTGTTGGTAGTTTAAAGGTACAAATACCAAATAATAATTATTAGAGGTGGAATTCAAAGGAAAGAAAAGGGAATTTGTTAAAATTATCAATCTAGAGAAGGATGAAAGAGAAACATAGATTAGTTGCCTCCTGTACGTGCCCTGACTGGGGATTGAACCCGAAACCTGGGTATGTGTCCCGACGGGAATCGAACCCACCACCCTTTGATGTACGGGATGACACTCCACCAACAGCCACACCGGCCAGGACTTAAAAGGAAATTTTTTTAAACTAATCATTATTCCCTATGGTATGATTTTTTCACAATATACACATTAACACACACACCCTCCATTAAGAAACGGAAATAAAGAACTTGTTCAGCCCTGGCTGCTTTGGCTCAGTGGTTGGAGCGTTGGCCTGCGGACCAGAGAGTCCCAGGTTCAGTTCCCGCTAGGGGCACATACCAAAAACAAAAAACACTTGTTCATAATAGTAATGACTGGGTGACAGACAAAACAGCCCAGAATTGAGAGACCACTCAGTCATACTAAGGAAAGAAGATCCCAAACTTGGATTGTTTAATATGACACTGATCACTATTGCTCAGCAGATGTCCAATAGATAGTTCCTGAAGTTCTTTGTAAATAGTAGCTCTTAGTACAAGGAAGTGACCAGGATGACATGCTCCTCCTTCTGCCTGACACTCTAGTGCAGCAATTCCCCACCTTTTTCATCTCCTGGCACACGTGAACTAAATTCTGCAGCACACCAAAAAATAGATTTTTTGCTGATCTGACAGAAAGTAAAAGATGTCATTTTGATGCATTCACACTGGACAGCTACTACTGTGTTGGCTGTTGTCATGTTTTTATTTGACCATCTAAGGGAAAAGAGGTCAGTGCTCCTGACTAAATAGTTAGGTGTTGCTTTTTTTTTTTTTCCTCACCTGAGGACATTTTTCCATTTTTTGTTCAGATAGAGTGGGAGGGAGAGAGAGAAACATCGACCTGAAAGGGACACATCGAGTGGCTGCCACCCGCACAACCCAATCAGGGCCGGGGACAAACTGCAACCAAGGTACATGCCCTTAGCAGGAATCAAACCCCAGTCTCTCTGGACCGCAGGCCGACACTCTAACCGCTGAGCCAAACTGGCCAGGGCCACTTTTATTTTATTTTATTTTATTTTTAATATTGTTCTTAAAAATGATTTTGGAGAGGAAAGGAGAGGGAGAGAGAAACATCAGTTGGCTGCCTCCTGAATGTCCCCTACCAGGGATCCAGCTCAGGCACGTGCCTTCTGCATGCATGGGACAACACTCCACCGAGCCACACTGGCCAGGGCAGGTGTTGCATATTTTAAAATTCTCGTGGCACACCGGTTGAAAATTGCTGCTCCAGTGAAACAGAAAACTTCACGGAGAAGGACCTTCTTTGTCTCTCTTTCCTTTGATTTCCCTTAGAAATTTCACCCTTTGGAGGAGGTTAGAATTAATACTATCCATTCCCTAGACTCAGAAACGGACTACAGCCCTGGCTGGTTTGGCTCAGCAGTTGGAGCGTAGGCCTGCGGACCAGAGAGTCCCGGGTTTGGTTCCCAATAGGGGCACGTACCAAAGAAAAACAAAAACAAAAACGGACTATAACGCCAATAATTGACTCAAACTCAGTAGCATAATGTGTAGCTGTGGGGGTAATAAAGCTGGTTTTCTCTGCAGGATAGGCTTAGGTGTCTTCAATGTATTGTTTCTTTCTCAGGTACACTGCAGTGCGCCTGGGCTCCAGGGGGCAAATCTAGAATTCCATGAGTAACAAGAATGTCAGCCACAGTCTCGCCAGAATCTTGGAGTCCATTTTTACTTATTTATTTATGTTCTGCTTAAAAAAAAAATTATACCTGCTGCTGAATGCTAATTCTCAGCTGATTATATTTACTTAGAAAAGAGGAAGAAAAAAGCCAACATTAGCACAGGTTGTGACAAGTTTAAAAATACTAAGAATACCGTGGTTTCCCAGTAAGTAACTTGAGAATGGAGTTATTTTAATTGGGTTACCAAATATAGCTCACCTTCCTAAATGGCACTTGCTACACCACAGTCACTGCTATAGACCACTCAGAAGGGTTCCGCCTCCCACTTGAACTCCATGTTTGAATGTGGATGTAAACATAAGGGTTTGTTTTTCCTGAAATTGTTTTCTGGTGTTTCAGCTTTTTGTTCAGCTTTTGTTACTTTAATTTTCAGAGAGCGAGAAAGGGAAAGGGAGTGGGAGAGAGAAACATCGATTTGTTGTTCCATTCAGTCATGCATTCATTGGTTGATTCTTGCATGTGCCCTGACCAGGACAGAACCCACAACCTTGGCCTATGGGTACAATGTTCTAACCAACTGAGCCACACCGGCCAGGCTTACCTATGTTCTTAGGGATGTTTTTCTACTCTCAGTTTTCTGCCTTTCTCACTTTCATTTCCAGGAGAGGAAAAAAGAGAAAACTCATCAAAATATTATTTCAACTTTTAGTGCCTTGACTATTATATTAATATATATGTGTGGGTAATTTAAAATCAATAATAAACCCTGGCCGGTTTGGCTCAGCAGTTAGAGTGACAGCCTACGGACCAAAGAGTCCCAGGTTCGATTCCAGCCCAGGGCACGTACCTCAGTTGTAGTTCGTCCCAGGCCCCGGTGGGGGTCGGCGGGTGGCAACCAGTCCATGTGTCTCTCACGTCGATGTTTCTCTCTCTCTCCCTCCTACTCTGAAGATAAATGTAAAAATATCCTCGGATGAGGGTTAAAAAAATAAATAAAATCATTAATAAAAACTTCTAGCCCGGCCGGTGTGGCTCAGTGGTTGAGTGGTCGCTGGTTTGATTATCAATCAAGACACATGCCCAGGCTATGGGCCTGATCCCCAGTGGGGAGTATGCAAGAGGTGGCCAATCAATGTTCTCTCTCACCGATGTTTCTATCTCTCTCCCTCTCCCTCTAAAACCAATAAAGAAAAAAATATATTTTTATTGTTTTATTTATTTTTGGTACGTGCCCCTAGCGGGAACCAAACCCAGGACTCTGATCTGCAGGCCGACGCTCCAACCGCTGAGCCAAACTGGCCAGGGCGAAAAAAAATATTTTTAAATAAATAACTTCTAAATTATGTACTGTTAACTTTTATATAGTGAGGCAAGTAACCTATGCATAGAAGAGTCAAATGCATTTCTTGTGTTATGGTTCGTACAGGAAAAATATAAAAGTTAGTAGCAACTTGGTGTGTCAAACACTTTAAATATTTTCATTTACAGAAGCTCATTTACATATTAATAATGCACTTAATGGGTAGAGAATACTATAACATTCCTTAAAGTAAAAAGTTTGTATATAATAAATGCATTACAATCCACATCTTAGGCAACCCAGAATCAGAAAAATTTAGTGTCTAATAGGAAAAAAGGAGCAACTCTTTTTGACTAAATGCTAAGGTATGGATTCCCAAATGTTCTCAAAGGAAAAGGATGAAAAAAAAAAAAAAAGTTATCTCAGTTGCCTCTCATCCTGTATGCCTAAAATTAGCCTTTAAATATCAAAACTGCCCAGGCCAGGTAGCTTGGTTAGTTGGAGCAGTGTTTCTCTCTCTCTCTCCCTTCCTCTCTTTCTAAAATCAATAAATAAAACACTTAAAAATAAGCAAATATAAAAATTAAGTAGTTTGAATTTTTTTAATCAAATAGTACCATTTTTTGTTAAGTTAGCACCATCATAAAGAAGATAACCTACACAAAGATGATTTTCATCACTTTAGAAAAGGTAAACTTCTAAAACCTCCATGGCTGAAGTTGAACCTTTAAGTACAAACATTTTCCCAACGACTGCTTGTGTCAATTACTTTTCAATAAAACTGGGAAAAAAACCCCAAAACTATCGCATGTTTGGCAAGAGTTCCCACCTTCCTCACCAAGCAATAGTGTGTCCACCGGGCCCAGATGCTGGGTAGTGTCTGAAGACACCACCCCCTTAATGCAGTTTGCTGTCTGTATCTGTCACACTGTCATGCTGCAATGAATGGATTTCTCACACTCCCATTTTGAACTCAGGAGACTGATGAGAAAAAGAAACCCAATAGCACGCCCGGGTTGGTAGGTTATTCAAAATTCCAAACAGCTGATAGGTCTAAATCCGTTCCTTTCTTTTCTAACCACGTTTCGTCTACTGACTTAGATACACACACATGGTTTCAAATACTTGCCTCTTAGGTCTGAGATATTAATAATATAGCTCCCCCTCCCCCAATAACTGACCTTTTAAGTTTTATTTTGAACTTGTATTATTTAACACACAGTTTATATGTTTAGTACAGAAAGAAAAAACGCAGGCAAGCAGAAACAACAACTAACCTCCTAGAGAAAGTTACCTTCATAATTTTTTTGTAAGCATCTAAACATACAACAAATTGGGTCATATTATGGGTAATCCTATTTTTCACTTGATATTACAGCATGAACATCTTTCCATTTCAATAAATATCTGCATTGCTCTTCACAGCTTCCCCGGAAGACTCAAACATGATTTGCTGAAATAACCCCTTGTTAGAGATACACAAAACTGGATTCAGTTCTTAACTGCTGAAACATGATTGATTTCCTAAAGTTTTTTTAATGCAAGGTGGGTGAGTTCTGACCTGAGGGACCGGAGTACTTTTCCCACTTCCTGACTTCTCAGACTTTTCTTGTCACAAAGCCTGTGCAAGTAAGCTATTGGCCAGGCTCCTGGGCCCAGGAATGTTGCTGCCGCTAACAGCTGTGTGAACAGTCCATCTATGGGCAACAGGCAGCCCGCCTGGTACCTGCCTGTTTTCTTACTCAGGCCTGTGCTTCCCGTGCTGAAATTTAGACCAGATTCATCCTCATGCAGAGAGATTCAGGAGGAGAAGAGAGAGCCTACACGTCTCATTTCAGATATGCGATGAAAACAAGATGTCTTCTGCAAAGGCTATGTGGACTTGGCTGGAACCAAGACAGGACAGCAACTCCGCAGTGCGACCTAAGCTGGGACAGTCTTGAAGCCCACAGGGCAAGGGGGTGGGAAACTATTAAATAACAAAAAAAAACCCAGGTGTCATCAGCAAAACAAGAGAGCTGGAGGTGAAATAGGGGATCTTTTTAAAATTCAACAAAGCATACATTAAAGAAAAGAACGGCTTCCAAGTGAGGGCATTTTTTTCACATGCTATGTTGAAAATGCAGTCTCGCCTGGTATTGCATCTATTGGAACCAAAAGGTCAAATTCCTTTCTTAAATATTTATTCCTGTCACCTCACAAGTGACTGTGACACTTCTGAATGGCCACATCCCCTTCTTAAGGCAGTCTCCTGTCTGACCTTGAGCTGGACGCAGGCCCCAGGGCCCCTAGTGTCCCCTCGAGGAATATTGAAAACGGCTATTTTTTCCGGAATTGCTTTCTGGTGCTTTAGGTTTTTGTTCAGTTTAATAGTACACGCTCAGGCATTTCTCCTGTCCCGTGTTCTGCCTTTCCCACCTCCGTGGCCAGGAGAGGAGGCCAGGAGGCCCGGTGTCCAGGGTGACCAGACCCAGAGCAGGCCTGCCCCCTTGGAGGGCAGCTCTGGAGCCTGAAAGCGCCCGTGAATCAAACTGAAACTGCTTTGTATACCGAGGAGCGTTAATGACCGAGTCAGGCGAGTTTGCAGGCACTCGGTGCAGCCGATTCCTGGCATCTGGCCCCATTCGGCTTATAAATGAGCCCAGGAAAAAAAGTCACCCGAAAACCTTACAGTTGTTCAGGCTTTGGTCCTGACCTGTACAGATCCTGTGGTTGGACACTGTTCCCGTAATAGGGTTAACTAGCGAGCCAAAGAGCTATGAAATGAAATGTAAAAAGTCATTGTACCGAGCAGCGCTGGGCTCGGGGGCGGACGCAGTGGGAAGTGTGGCGCGAAAGCGATGACCACCGGATTTTGCTAAGCAGCTGGGCCCCGGTGAGTCGTGGGCAGGCCCCGGAGGCCCCCGATCCATGCGCGCAGCAGGGCCGCCCTCGCAGAGAACACTTGTCACCCGCCGTCCCGGCCCAGGCGTCGGCGGGAGGCTCCAGGAAGCCCGGGAAGGGCGGAAAGAGGGAGCGGGCGCAGGCGGCTGTGACTCAGCCGGGCGCGCGGGGGCGGGCGCGCGCGAGGGGAGGAGGGCCAGCGCGCGGGGCCAGGCGGCGGCGCCCGGCCCGGAGGGGTTAAGTGGGCGGGGCGAGCGGCGCCCCGCCCCCTCCCAGGTCGGCCCCTAAGAGGCCACGGCGCCCGGCAGTATTTATAGCGGCTGCGGCCGACGCGCCGCGTCTCTCCCGCTGGCCCCGGCCGCGGCCTTTCCCGGTACCGCGCGTTGCGGCCCCGCGCCCCGCCGCCAAGGCGCCATGGAGCGGCCGGCGCCGCTGGCCGTGCTGCCCTTCTCCGACCCCGCACACGCGCTGAGCCTGCTGCGCGGCCTGAGCCAGCTCCGCGCCGAGCGCAAGTTCCTGGACGTGACCCTGGAGGCGGCGGGCGGGCGCGACTTCCCGGCGCACCGCGCCGTGCTGGCGGCCGCCAGCCCCTACTTCCGCGCCATGTTCGCCGGGCAGCTGCGCGAGAGCCGCGCCGAGCGGGTGCGCCTCCACGGCGTGCCGCCAGACATGCTGCAGCTGCTGCTCGACTTCAGCTACACGGGCCGCGTGGCCGTGAGCGGCGACAACGCCGAGCCGCTGCTGCGCGCCGCCGACCTCCTGCAGTTCCCGGCGGTGAAGGAGGCGTGCGGCGCCTTCCTGCAGCAGCAGCTCGACCTGGCCAACTGCCTGGACATGCAGGACTTCGCCGAGGCCTTCAGCTGCGCGGGGCTGGCGAGCGCGGCGCAGCGCTTCATCCTGCGCCACGTGGGCGAGCTGGGCGCCGAGCAGCTGGAGCGCCTGCCGCTGTCGCGCCTGCTGCGCTACCTGCGCGACGACGGGCTGTGCGTGCCCAAGGAGGAGGCCGCCTACCAGCTGGCGCTGCGCTGGGTGCGAGCCGACCCGCCGCGCCGCGCCGCGCACTGGCCGCAGCTCCTCGAGGCCGTGCGCCTCCCCTTCGTGCGCCGCTTCTACCTGCTGGCGCACGTCGAGGCCGAGCCGCTGGTGGCGCGCTGCCCGCCCTGCCTGCGCCTGCTGCGCGAGGCGCGCGACTTCCAGGCAGCGCGGTACGACCGCCACGACCGCGGGCCCTGCCCTCGCATGCGCCCGCGTCCTTCCACCGGCCTCGCCGAGATACTCGTGCTCGTGGGCGGCTGCGACCAGGACTGCGACGAGTTGGTCACCGTCGATTGCTACAACCCGCAGACCGGCCAGTGGCGCTACCTGGCCGAATTCCCAGACCACCTGGGCGGGGGCTACAGCATCGTGGCGCTTGGCAACGACATCTACGTGACGGGTGAGTGGGCTGGTCAGGGGAGCTCAGGGGTCCCTGGGGTTGGCCTCCCGCGCCGCTGCGGGAGCACGTCTACCTTTCCGAGAAACCCACTGAGCCCTGGGTTGAAGTCCAGGACCTAACCTGAGTGAAGGCGGTCACTTCTTCCCCTCAAGCTGGACAGTGGGTACGGTTCTTCTTCTAGGACGATACTTGCGACCTAGAAACAGAGCCACTTGTGTGAGCGGGGACAAATGGCTGCTTGTGGGTTTCTTTCCCGTGCTGCAGGGCCTGCCTGGGGAGCCCATTCTTTTCCTGGGAGGTGCCACCCCCCACCCCCTTTGGTCGGAAGATACTGGGGCATTCACTCCGCACAATGGGTGCTTTCTCTTTATCCCTAAGGGATCCAGAGACAGGACTGGGGCTGACACCCTGTGACACAACCATTCTCCATTCCTGGGGATTTCCCCCAGCTGAGCCACCAAGGCCTCCTGGTGCCTACCTCTTGTCACCGGTGACTAGGTTCCCTTAGGTTGGCACATGGGCTGTGAGTTGTGGGTCACATGGCGTTTGGGCTGCTCTCTGCCCCACGACTGTAAACATAGTCACATGCTGAGAGGTTTTCTTCCAGTTACTTGGCTCAAACCCCAAAACACTGCCGAGTCATGCTGGGCGGGTCCCAGCCCGCCCTAGTTCTGGGCTTCTCCCACATTTTTTATTAAGGATAAATCTTGGCTCCAACGGGAGGCTACCTCCTTCGCTGGGGTGAGGAGGGGCGGTCTCTGAGGGCTATATAAGGAAAGAAGTGGTCTGAGAGTGCATTTGGGCTCCGGAGGGCTGTTATCAGGCAGAGAGGGTCTGGGCTGGGCCCAGGCTGGCGCGGTAGGGAGAAAACCAGTTCTGAGACGAGTTCCGTGTCCCTGCAGGGTTCTGAGCTGACAAGTGGGAGGCATCCCGGCCTCAGGACGCACTGCACGCCGGGGCCACAGCTTCCCGGGCCTACAGCTCCAGCCTCTGCTGGCCTCTCCCGGAATCAGCCCCTTTGCCATCTGAGGCTGGCCTGTGTTGTTTGGGAACCATGCTCCCCTCCAGGTCTGGCCAGGGAACTCCCTCCCCAAAGTGGTCAGACTGGCCCCAGCTTTGCACAGCCTTCCATAAATGTCTCAGCTGAGCAGCTAATCCCTGGGATTTAGACAGGTGGCTGGGTCATTGCAAACAGCTGCCCTTGGGAATTTCATGGAAGAAAGTGGCCCCAGCTGCCTGAGGTCCAGTGTCCCCGTGGAAGGGAGAAGGCCGGCCGGCCTGACCCAGCTGCTCTTCTCCCTTTAAGAAGCTCAGGGCCATGAGACGGTGTCGTGTCTGCTCTGCCTGTGGCGCCAGCCTCGGGGTTGGGAATGCAACCCCTGGGGTCCCGGGGTCCCTTCAGGCTGTGGTTAATGGAAGTCCCGTGTCGACTGGTTTAATTCACGACCTTAGCCAGTGCCATTGGGCTTTGGTTTTTGCTTATGTATTTATTTATTTATTTTAGTTCTTTGGAATATAAACCAGAGTGTACAGGCATGAGCAAAAAGTAGGTTTACAGTTTGTGAGTATGAGAAACTATTTATTTATTTATTTTTTTTCATTAACCCTCTCCAGAGGATATTTTTCCTTTGAGTTTTTAGATAGAGTGGAAGGGAGGGAGGGAGAGAGAGAGAGAAACATCACTGTGAGAGACACATTGATTGGTTGCCTCCCACACGACCCCAGGAATTGAACCTGCAACCCTGGGGATCGAACCTGCAAGCCAGGTATGCACCCTTGATGGGGAATCAAACCCAGACCCTTCAGTCCACAGGCCGATCCTCTAACTGTTGAGCCAAACCAGCCAGGGCGAAACCGTTTCTTCTTGTATTACTTACTGATTATGGTAGTGGGAAGTGGACACAACTGTAAGCCTACTCTTGCCCTACCCAGTATTTGTACAGCTTGAGTTTTTCCAGACGAAGCTCGTAGGTAACCTGCACGGAAACTAGAGCCCAGAAGTCCGCTCTGTGTTGGGTTTCTTGCTTGTGACGTAAAGTAGATTTCCTCTCAGCTGTTCCTGGCACAGCCGTGGTAAGGGGGTGGCCAGGAAGGCTAGACTTTGGTGAACAAGTCCCTGTGTGTCCCACTCATGTGCTTTGTGTCCCTGGGAGAACTCACTCTGAGACCTGATGCCCTAGTCCAGTTGAGGTGCTTGGTGTGTATGTAGGTCCAGACCAGGGTTACTTTTTCTTAGAATTGTGGCCCCCGGGCCTTTGCTTGGCCTGTGGCCTGCAGAGATCTGGTGGTGGTTTTGTGGCATGCAGCTCAGCCGTTCTCATGGGCCGTGAGCAGTGGTTTGGTACCTGCATTGCCTTACCCCAGCACGGAGCCCTGGGCCCGGGCGTTGGTGAGCCAGGATGCGTGTTTACACGGAAGCCAAGGGAGGTTCATTCCTCCCCTCGAGACGCCCTCCGGGAAGTTCAGGAAGGCGTAGGTGGGTTACTCACCCTGAGCCAGCAGGGACTGACATGTCCGCTGTGCGTGTCCCGGCAGGCGGGTCCGATGGCTCCAGACTGTACGACTGCGTGTGGAGGTACAACTCGAGCGTGAACGAGTGGACGGAGGTGGCACCCATGCTGAAGGCCCGCGAGTACCACAGCTCCTCTGTGCTCGACGGGCTGCTGTACGTGGTGGCCGCGGACAGCACGGAGCGCTACGACCACACCACCGACTCCTGGGAGGCCCTGCAGCCCATGACCTACCCCATGGACAACTGCTCCACCACAGCCTGCCGCGGCCGGCTCTACGCCATCGGCTCCCTGGCCGGCAAGGAGACCATGGTGATGCAGTGCTACCACCCGGACACAGACCTGTGGTCGCTGGTGGACTGTGGCCAGCTCCCGCCCTGGTCGTTCGCCCCCAAGACCGTGACTCTGAACGGACTCATGTACTTCATCAGGTGAGTGCCTGGGGCCAAGGCGCTGCGTGGCCTTACCAGGCCCCGTGCTAAGCACATCACCCCTCTTCTCCCATCACAGACAAAGCCAGGCTAGGACCCGAGGCTGGGTCTGTCGGACCCGCAGCCTCTGTGCTGTTTCTTACAGCGGTTCCTGTGGGCTGCTGGGTTTTCTTAATCAAGGGTCCCAAGTATGATGGAGATAGGTCCTTTCAGAGAACTTTCCTAGATGCCAAATAAAAGGAGGCCCTTTGGCTGGACTTGTACCTGGAGGGCCCACTAAGGCCCTGCCTTGGCTGGTCGCACATGGCCTTTGTTAAAACAAGCCTCTCCGATCTAGGAGGGATTTTGAATCTTAAAAAGACCAGAGGAGCTTTTTGGACACTGGAGTCTTTGGGGAAGTTGTGGTCTTGGCAGAGGGACCCTTCGCTCACCGTGCAGTGTCCACCACACTCAGGCAGGTGGGGACCTGCCTCCAGGTGCAAGGCCAGCCTCCCCCCTCTGTTTAAAGCAGCACTTGCATGTCCGTTCCCTTCCCACCTGGCCTGGCTCGGGAGGGCCCGTGACTCTTGTTGAATGAAGGCTGTTGTCCAGGGATCCCACAGCCACTCGGGACCGGGGAGGAGCTTCTGAGCAGGCCCCGGAGCTACCTGTGGGAATGATGACAGTGGTCAGCACACGTTGGGGGCCTGGACTTGCCCGACGCTGTGTTGTCTGTTTCCGGGGCATTTTCATGGTTGACCTCCATGATGAGATGGACACTACTGTTGTCCCCATTTCACAGATGACAAAACAGGCCTAGAGGAGCAGGGGACTTATAGCCACGGGCTTTAAGTGGTGGTGCAAGGCTGGAGCCAAGGACGTCCAACCCAGGTCCCTGTGTGGTACCCCTACGTAGTGGCACCCATGGGGTCACCGGGCAGCTGCAGGTCCTGATGACTGGTCACTGCTACACAGCCACCTCCTAATGGGCTAGTGGGCACCTGGGAGCCAGGAGCCCCCTGCCTGCTGCACACAGCTGCTGTGTGTGATGTACCTGTGGCTCCCCTACCCCCCTGGAGCCTTCTGCGGGTGCGGACCAGGAGGGCTGGGGCTTTGAATTAGGCGCCTCTGAGCATCCCCCACCCTCCCAGCCATCTGCGCTGCTGCTCCCGCTCCTTCCCCAGCTCAAGGCTCCCTCCCAGGCTTTCTGGTGAGCACGTTAGACAGAGGCGGCGTTGCTCGCGAGTGGCCAAGAGAGCAGGCACCGCCGTGCGCCAGGAACCTGCGGCACGCTGTCGAGCCCTGGGGTCCTGCCAGCCCTTGGTCCCGCTGCAGACGTCGCCTGACCCCTCAGCCAGCTCCCCTCCCGGAAGGTGGCGGTAGATGTCTTCAGAGAGGGGTGGAGCCGGCTATAAATACAGCTTACTAGCGTGCCAGCCCCTTGGCCGGCTTTCCAGGCCGAGTGCCTTTGAGAATGTCCTCCCACCCCGTGGTCCTAGGACACGGTACGCACGGGCCGCTCTGCCATCCTGAGCCCCCGTGCTTTCCTTCTCCTGGTGTCATGCCCACCTGGAAGCATTGGGGAGCCCCTGCACCCACTGTTAGCCGGTTAAGGGTTTACCTAAGTTGTGGGGCCGGGGCAGGTGGGCTCAGCTCTGCCCTCTCCCGGCCTGGCTGAGAGTGAGGGGTCAGGAAAGGCAGCCGGTTTGTCCTCAGGTGACCAGGGAGGCCCGGCCTTGGCTCGCCGGGGCACAGGCAACGCCTGGGCTCGATGCACTTGGGCATTTGTCCCAGCGCCACCCTGCTCATGCGCTCTGGTGCCTCGAACCACAGAGCCCCCTGCTCGGAACGCCACCTGTGGGCACTCCAGTTGGGAGGTGTCTTCCCGGGGAGGCAGCCAGTGCTGTGTGGGGGCCACATCCCATCCCTGCTCCTGTGCTGCTCCCTCCTCCCCCGGCCGTGCCCACCTGGGTCCCCATCTGAGTGGCTCCTTGGCTGGGGGCCCGGTGGAGGGAAGGGCTGGCATCAGCCTGGCCTCGTCCGGCTGCAGCTTGTACTACGTCTGTGCTTGGGGCTGGCAGCCCACTGGGTTCCAGGATTAATCGTCAGCATGTGGGTCACAGGGTAAGAATGGCGTTTACAGTTTGGAGTAACCTGAGGGGGAGACATCAGAGTACGAGTACTATGTCATGACACGTGAAAAGTTGTGAAATTTCAGATTTCTGCAGTCCATGAACAAGGCTTGATGGGGACTTGGCCGGTCCCTGTGTTCACGTGTGCCTGGGGCCGCTTGTCCTCTAGTGTGGGGAGTTTCCGCAGGGCCTAAAGCACTGACTGGCTGGCTGCCTGCTGGTCCTTGGCCTGCGATCATGACTGCTATTTTGGCGGGGAGCTCTTTGCTTGGCAAGGCCGTGCCTGGGAGCCTTTTATTGCAGGGATCAGGAACGTGTCAAACAAGGTCGCCCCCACCGGGAAGGGGAGAGCAGGGGCACCTTCTTCCTGTGGCCACAGCCGCCCTGGGCGTTGAGCAGGGAAGGGGGTGCTGGCAGCAGAGGTGAGGCTGTGGCCTGGGACCAGTCCAGGACATGTGGGGGTGCGATGGCGTGCGGGGGCCCGGCCTGCGCGGCCTCGGAAGACTGTCCTGAAGCGGTTGCACAAATCCAAATCGGAAGGATGAGTAGGGGGCAGGTGGGAAGAACCCTGGTACAGTCAAGGTCAGAAGCCCGTGGGCTGCAAGTGAGGAGCGGGGGCACGTGTTGGTGCTGGGTGGTGGGGAAAGGATTAAGCACCTGAGGGGGTGCTCTTCGGGTTTAGGGAGCAAGGCTGGGTTCTGGCTTGGAATCCAGGCGGTGATGGGTTTGAGACCTAAAATCAGGGACAGGGTCCCACACTAGCCAGTGGGCTGTCAGATGGCACTAAAGAATTCCCCAAAGGTGAGAGGCTTGGAGGACCCTCCTCTCCGGCCCTTCACCCCCAGGGGTACTTCTTCCTTGCTCTGACCCGCTCTCTCCCTCCTTCCCTCCACAGGGATGACTCTGCCGAAGTGGACGTGTATAACCCCACAAAGAATGAATGGGACAAGATCCCACCTATGAATCAGGTAAAGTTGCCTGTGTTGGAAGCACAGGCTGCCATGAGGCAGACAGCATACTGGGGAAGAGTGTTCTACAGAGAGAGACAGCAAGTGCAAAGGCCCTGGGGCAAGGCATGTCTGCTATGTTCCTAGAATAAGCTCTCAGCTCTGTGTCTGGTGCAGTGTAAACAAGTGGACAACAGAGGGGACAAGGTCAGACAGGAGGTCTTGGGGGCTGACCTTGGTAATGTATTTATTGAGCGCCTGCTGTGTGCTCTGAACAGGGCTCCCACACTGCTGCAGGTGCCTGATCGGGGTCTCGCCTTCTCTGCTTGTTGAGAAGTGAGGTGCCAAGCCTGATAGTGTCATGGAGCCAGGAGGCCGGGGCAGCATTTGGCCACACAGACAAATCTCAGTCCCAGATACACCTACACCCACCTGCTTCGTTTGTCTTCCTTAAATTTCCAAACCTGCTCTCACGATACCTCTACCTGGCTGATGTCACAGTTTACACATCACAGCTCAACGTCTTTCCACTTTAAAAATGTAACTTTATGGCTTTTCCCAAAACGAACTACACACACGTTATAGCAAATGTGAGAAAGATGGGGTAGTCCAGTCTTATGCTCAGCCTGTCTTCGGGTGACGTCCCAGCTCCGCGACTGGCGATGGCAGAGGCTCATTTTCCCTCTGTAAGGTGGGAGAGCAGTCACACGTGTCTTAGAGGCCAGTGCTGCTCATGGGGAGACTCGGGTCCTGGGGAGTCCGTGTTCCCAGGGGTGCGGGAAGGGCAGCCTGTTTTGAGACATGTGCAGAGGACAGCTCCCAGCATCACCTCCAGAAGTGTGGAGGCTGCCAGGTACCCTGTTCATGCTGCTGGCTTCCACTCACTGTGCCCCTTGGCCCACAGGTGCATGTGGGCGGCAGCCTGGCCGTCCTTGGAGGGAAGCTCTACGTCTCCGGGGGGTATGACAACACGTTTGAGCTCTCGGATGTGGTGGAAGCCTATGACCCTGAGACTCGGGCGTGGAGCGTGGTGGGCCGGCTCCCGGAACCTACCTTCTGGCATGGCAGCGTCAGCATCTTCCGCCAGTTCATGCCCCAGGCGCCCTCGGGTGGGCGTGGCTTTGAGCTAGACAGTAGCGCCAGTGACATGGACGTAGGCCAGCCCAGGCCGCCGCCGCAGAACCCCCACGAGCTGCGCTAACCCCGGCCGGGCCCAGGGAGGGCCTCGATGCAGGTAACCAGCCCGGCACCTCGAAGGGCAGTGACCCCCTCCTTCGTGCCTGAGGACAGGTTGGGCTCACCACGTGGGACGCGGGCTCCTGGGCTGCTGAGTGAGCCTCAGGATCTGATGCCTGGATTGTTCTGTGCATCTAGAACCCGAGTCCCAGCTGCTGGGGCCGAAGCCGGTTGTGAATGCCCCTCCCTTGGTCCAGGAAGAGCTGCCTCTCTGCTGGCACAGGTCTTTGGCTGCAGCCAGACACACACACACACACACACCGCCGCCCCTGCCACCCACTTGCACCCCCCTCGGGAGAGGAGAGTCTGGGTCACCCACTCCTGCTTCTGGGGCATGCGTGGAGGGGCCAGGTCCTCCCGGGAGAGTCTGAGTAGCCGAGGGCTGCTCTCCTGCAGGCCCTGCTGTCCTGGAGCGTTGGGAACCCAGGCAGACGGCTGCAGGGTGGTCCCAAACCCTGCGTCCCGTGCTGGTCATCCCGGCAGGTCTTCCCCCAGGTGAAGGGGCCTCGCACAAAAGCCCCCCTGCCAGGGATGGGCCTCAGCAGGTGAGCTCAGACCTGGGCGCAGGGTGGTGGGACTGATATGGCTTGAAAACAGCCCAGAGGGGTCCGCTGAGTGAGTGCTGTCTCCAGGGGACCTGGGCTGAGGCAGATGGTTGCTGACCCTGTCCACCCACCCCACCCGCTGGTATGTCGTCATCCTCTGCCCTCCACCCTGGCTCAGAGACCTCTCCGGGTTCGTCCTCGATGCAAGACGGTAAAAGCCTACGGGTGCAAGGTCGCAGCTCCTTATTGGGAGGCCCGGGAGCTTGTGTTTGAAGCCAGCCGGGCAGCCGGCGGCGGGCGCCCTTTGCCCTTGACCTTGCCACTTCTCCAGCAAGCCTGGCAGTGTGGCTTCAAGGTTGGCTGCAAGGTTTGAAACAAGTGTGGCCTTATCTTAAAAGACGGGGGCAGCCCTGGCCGGTTTGGCTCAGCGATTAGAGCGTCAGCCCATGGACCAGAGAGTCCCGGGTTCGGTTCCCGCTAGGGGCACGTACCTCGGTTGCAGTTTGTCCCCTGGCCCTGTTGAGGTCGTGTGGGTGGCAGCCACTCGATGTGTCTCTCTCACATTGATGTTTCTCTCTTTCTTCCCCCCCACCTCCCTCCTGCTCTATCTGAAGATAAATGCAGAAAATGTCCTCGGGTGAGGATAAAAATAATTAATTTTTTAAAAAAGGATGGGAGCAGCCCTGGCCGGTTTGGCTCAGCGGTTAGAGTCGGCCTGTGGACCAGAGCGACCTGGGTTCAGTTCCCGCTAAGGGTACCTCGGTTGCAGTTTGTCCCCGGCCCCAGTTGGGGTCATGTGGGTGGCAACCAGTCGATGTCTCTCTCACATCGATGTTTCTCTCTTCCCCTCCTCTCCCTCCCACTCTATCTGAAGATAATTGCAAAAATGTCCTCGGGTGAGGATTAAAAAACCAAAGACGGGCGCAGTAGACCAGGGTCCACTGTGACTTGTGGTGTTTGCGGGGCCTCCGCAGACCTTCCTGCTGGGTGGGCGGGGGGCTCCGGGAGGCCGGACCCTGCCGCTCGGGCTCGTTTTCTCGGGGAGCGGAAGCATTTCTGTGGGTCGGGTGGTCTTGTTCCCTCGAGGTCCCCGGCGTAGCTTTGCCTGAGTTTGTCTTCCTTCCCAAGAGGAGGGTGCTTGCATTTCCTCCTTAGATAAGCTGAAAATGAGTGTTCACTGGGCTGTCTTTCCCTGTGAACTCCTGTGGAGATGTGTTCTCACCAGAAGAAAGCTCACTCACAAATCCACTTAAAACCCTTTCATTGGCCAGGTGGCCGTGGTTCTGGGGAGGCAGCCTCATGGCCTTCAGGGCTGCCAGCTTGGCCCTCCTGTGTGTGTGGTGTTGCTTTGGGTCAGACCCCGCGCCAGGACTGCTGGAGGGCGTGTGGGGTCCACCCGGTCATGGGCTCCTGGGGCTCAGGGAAGTGCTCTGGCTCCTTAGGGTGACTCAGCTTACTGCCCAGGCCTCTGCCTTCACCCTCCCTGGCCTGAGGGTTCTCCCTGGGTGAGTCAGGTCTCTTCTGCGTCCTCCCCACAGCCCTCACTTCCCTTCCCAGGGGCTGCTGTGGCCTTTTCCCGGCCCGGCTGCCTGCCTGCAGGGCTTCCCCACCTAGGCTGCCCATGCTCAGGTGGCTGTCGTCTGTCCCTTTGCAGGCAGAGGCTGCCTGGGCATGGCGGCTTGTGACCCGTCAGTGGCGGGAACAGCAGGCAGGCTGGGCTGCAGAGGAAGGGGTGTAGGCCTTGGTCTCACAGAGACCCCCCCCCCCCCCCGGCACTGCCCCTCGGTGCTGTCTCCATGGGGGCCTTTCGGCAGCCACAAAGGTGTGACCTTTTGTGGACATGTGCTGTGGTCACTGAGCTCTCCCCTCCTCCAGGTGTGGCTGTGTTCCTGCCAAGGTCGTTTTCCCTGGGCACTAAGGTGTTACAGTAAAGTTTTATTGAGACAGGGCTGCAAACACTCATACAAAACCGGCCTCTTCTGGCCTTCCCTGAAGCTCCTTCCTGGCAAGGGGCCCAGTGTCCTGGCTTCCTGACCTTCCTCTTCTTGGTACTTCACTGGGACAGGCTGTCGCAGGACTGGCCAGCCTACTGTCTGGCAGTGGCCCAGATGCTGGTTGGTTTGGGGCAGGCCAGTGGAGGAGAGGGTTGGTTCGCGTTTTTCTCCGGGTCCCCCCCACCCAGGCTGTCTTTGGTTTAAAAGACTAAAGGTGGAAGGGGAGGCAGCAGCCTCAGCAACAGCGGGTCCCTCGAGATTCCAGCTGGGGGTCCAGATCAGGGACAGGCCTTCAGCAATGTCTGCTCCCTGCCCTCTGGGCGCCCCTGGCTCGGGTTCTAGGCTGTGAAGCCCTCCACTTGCAGGTGCACTGACTTGGGCCAACTGGGAATGGGACTGTGTTGGATGCACCCCTTTGTCAGTGTACAAGACAAACTGAGTTGTAAGAATTCAGTGGTGGTATTTAACGCTATCTCCGACGTATTCTGGATTTATGGCTTCAGACACCCTCCCTCCGGTGTCCAGCAGCCTGGTCCAACCTGAGGGTGGGGTGGGTTTGCATATTTATTTGTCTGTTTTATAGGCTTACGTGTCCAGAATCCTGTAAGGCTTTAGGATGCCTTCAATGTGTACTTTTTGAAATAAAAATGTTTCTCTACACTTGGTGTCACGGTCTTGATCCTGCTGCAGCTGCATCTTAGGGCTGAGGCCAAACGGATGGGGCTGTCCCCGGGCCAGCGGGGAGGAGCAGAGTGGAGTGCCCAGAGCTCCTAGCTACTGGTCCCGGGGGGGGGGGGGGGGAGTTCTTCAGGCCCTTTCTCATCTTGAATAAGACGAGGTAGGAGGTGGAGGACAGAGGAGGCCAAGCCTGAGAAGTGAGAACAGGTGGTGGAGGCCAGGGCTCCTTGCTCCAAAGCTGCTTCCAGCCTCCATGACCCCACCTGCTGGCAGCCCGCCCCTCGACTGCCTCCAGATCCCGTCTCTGCAGTGGGTGGACCTCGGGCTGGGCGTTCACACCTGCAGGAAAGCAGGCCCTTCTGCACCCGAGGGAGGCAGTGTCTGCTGGGAAGAGGTCAGTCCCTCTAATACTCTTACCAAACAGCCCCAAAGCCACTCATCCCTGTCACTCACTGCACTTGGGCTCACCAGCTGAGTTCCCCAGTGGCCAAGGAATGAAAGGAAAAATGGTTAGGAGGGTTCTGGGTCCAAAACAGGAGACCGCTTTCCTCCTCAACCTGCAGGAGGAACCTAGCATAGCGTGAGGCCGGTGTTATGGGGATCCTCCAGTGATGGGACTCAGTCTGGCCTGACCATCAGGCTAAAGGTCATGACCATCAGTACCACCTGGAGCACTGCCCTCTGGATGGGCAGCTGGAAGTCTGCGCAGACTCTGACAGCCCTCCCCCGAGTGCCCGGACTCTGGCAGAAGAGACACTGGCTGCCAGGGCAAGATCAGAGGCCTGCAGGTCTGGTCTGTTGGCGCTCTGGCTGTGGGCACCTAGCTGCCATGCTCAGGGAGCCCTCTTCCCTCTTGAGAGCAGCCCCAGCCCCAGGGAAGGCCAGGTGTTTGCTATCCAGCAGTAACACACACAGGCTCTCATTTAATCCTTGTCTATGAAGTGTGTACTGTTATTAATTCCATTCAAGACGAGGAAACAAGCTGTTACAACTTGCCCCAGGTCACAGCTAAAACTGAGCTGGGAAGGAATTTGGATGCAACCAGCCTCCAGCGCCCACGACAAACAGCAACCACCCCCACAGTTCCCCCAGGTCACAGAAGCAGGGGACCTCTCACAACTCGGGACCTAACCTTGTCTGCACCCCACATCTAGACAACTAGCCAGGTTCAGGCACCCCAAGGGCAGTGCTTTCTGCAAGCATGTAGCCAGCCCCGGCCAGAGCCTAGCCCTGAGCTGGCCCTCGGGCCCAAGCTGTGCCAGCGTGCGGCTGGAGTCCTGAACCAGGGTGGCCACTGGGGGGCCCTGACTGACTCCCGGGGCTCAGGGAAACGGGAAGTACCACTAGACCTGGTCCCTGTGCCCAGTCTTCAAACCCTGACTGCGGGGTAGGAGACAGATGATAGCATCTGGGCCAGAGGCTTGGCCCCCAAAACTGCCTGCCAGGTGCCCTCTGCAGGTCTTCTGAGCAGGCAGGACGGTGGGAAAGCAGCTCAGCCCTGGAGTACCCTGGGGAACGGACTGCCGGATGGGCCGAAGCAATGAGTCCAAAGCCGTGTGGTTTATTGGGGGCGGGGGCCGAGCGGGCTACGTGTCACAGGCCTCGGGAATAGCAGCGGTGATGAGGAGTGAGGGCCCCATGGCGCCCGGGCCCGTGAAGCTCTCCTCTGCACACAGTCTCGGGGCAGGGAGCTGGGAGGCCAGGCTGCCCTGGGCCAGGGACTCCACGATGACCTCGGCAGAGCCCACCTCCAGCTCGGCAGGCGGCTGGAGCGCCACCACCACCATCTTCTCATCCTCGATGACCAGGTTCCGAAGCTTGCGCTGCCGCGGGTTGTAGTTCTCCACGCGGTCGTGGATCTCCATGTGCCTCCGCAGGTGGGCCTATGGGGCGGGGGCAGGGGCTCAGGGCTGGGCTGTGGGCGCCCCGAGGGCAGGAGGAGGTGACCCAGGCCTACCTGCCTCGTGAACTTGTAGCCACACTCGGTGCACTCGAACTTCCTCACGCCCTTGTGCCTCCGCACGTGCACTCGCAGCTGCTCCACCGCTGTGGGGGGCAGCAGGGGAGGGTCAGGACGGGGGTGGGGGGGCCAGCAGGGGAGGGTCAGGAACAGGGTGGTGGCGGGAGGGCAGCAGGGGTCAGGATGGGGGGTGGAGGGGCAACAGGGGAGGGTCAGGAATGGGGGGGCAATGGGGTGGTGGCGGGAGGGTAGCAGGGGAGTGTCAGGACTGGGGTTGGGGGAGCCAGCAGGGGAGGGTCAGGATGGGGAGTGGGGGGGCCAGCAGGGGAGGGTCAGGACTGGGGTTGGGGGAGCCAGCAGGGGAGGGTCAGGATGGGGAGTGGGGGGGCCAGCAGGGGAGGGTCAGGATGGGGGGGCGATGGGGTGGCAGAGGGGGCAGCAGGGGAGGGTCAGGACGGGGGACAACGGGGTGGCGGGGCCCTGCCAGACTACAGGGCACCCCCAGGTCACCATGTACAGGACCCTGCTCCACCCCTGCCACCTGCGTCAGAGCAGGTAACCATGGGAACCCAGGAGCATGCATGCCACGGCTGCACCGGCCTGCCCCAGGACAGACTCCAACCCTGGCGGGCAAGGAGGGGCCAGCCAGCCTGGCTGGCTTCGCTCAGTGGTCAGAGCATCAGCCTATGGACCAAAGGGTCGTGGGTTCCATTCCTGGTCAAGGGCATGTACCTGGTCTGCAAGTTTGATCCCTGGCCCGTCATGCGGTAGACAACCAATTGATGTGTCTCTCTCACATCAATGTTTCTCTC